TGACTGAATGGAGAAAAGAGCCAAATCTCCCGTACAGAACTCTAACTTATGTAGGTACTCCCACTTTTCACTCTGTTCCCCCAATTTCTTCCAAAGAGTAAGGTATAGAAAGGAAAAAATAAGTAACTTGATAGTGAAGTAACCTGGCCAACACTACCTTGGCCTGGTAGTCAAGGTTAACATCACCAGTGCCAAGTCATAGAAATAGCATGTTCCTCCTGAAATTATCTGTTAAATTATTTGGATCTTATCTGTTGATAAGAAATTATCAACAGAGTAAACAGACAACCTACAGAATAGGAGAAAATATTTGCAAACTATGCATCCAACAAAGATCTAATATCCAAAATCTATAAGGAACTTAACCCCATTAAAAAGTGGGCAAAGGACATGAGCAGACACTTCAAAAGAAAACATACACATGGCCAACAAGCACATGAAAAAATGCTCAACAGCCTACTAATCATTAGTAAAATGCATATCAAAACCACAATGAGATACCATCTCACACCATCAGAATGGCTATTAAAAGTCCAAAAAGTAACAGATGGTAGCGAGGTTATGGAGTAAAGAGAACACTTATACTGGTGGGAGTGTTAATTAGTTCAGTGTCTATGGAAAGCATTTTGTTGATTTCTCAAAGAACTTAAAACAGAACTACCATTTGACCCAGTAATGGAATTACTGGGTATATACCCAAAGAAATGTAAATTGTTCCACCATAAAGATACATGCACATATATGTTCATCACAGCACTATTCACAATAGCAAAAACACAAAATCAACTAAATGCCCATCAATGGTGGAGTGGATAATGAAAATATGTTACATGGAACCACGGACTACTATACAGCCATAAATAATAGTGATATCATGTCCCCAGAAGTAACATGTATGGAACTGGAGGCCATTAGCCTAAGTGAATTAATGCAGGATTAGAAAATCAAACACTGCAGGTTCTCACTTATAAGTAGGAGCTAAACATTGAGTACACATGGACACTAAGAAGGAAACAATAGACACCAGGGCCTACTTGAGGGTTAAGGGTGGGAAGAGAGAGGATTGAGAAACTACCAGTTGGGCACTATGCTTATTACCTGGGTGACAAAATAATCTGTACACTAAACCCCCATTACACATAATTCACCCATGTAACAAACCTGCATATATACCCCCAAACCTAAAAGTTGGAAAGGAAAAATAAATAAGAATTACACTGGATAACATTTAAAAAGTTAAACATATATCACAGCAATTTTATTCCTAAAAATGTGCCCAAGATAAATGAATGCATATATCCACACAAGCTTATACAATGTCATAGTGAAACTGCCATTGCAAAATTGTAACTGAGACTGTGAGAGTGATCTGACCTAATCAACTCCATCTTGCTTCTAACCTCCAAGCTGTCCTTGTTCATTCCTGGGCATAGGACAAACTAAATCTGAGAAGAACTCAGAGTTTAAAAGAGTTTAAAACAAAGATGATAACAACACTTTCCCAAAGCAGACCTCTTCTTGCCTGGAGACTAGGTTGCCTTTGTAGGATTAACATATTAGCCAACATCTCTAAACTCTAAAACACATTCAACAGATGGCCATTATTGTTTACTTAACAGACAAAATTTTAAATATATATATGGTGACTATTTCCCCTTGCTTTACAAAGGGAAATCAATATAGTAACAAATCTGTGAATAGCATGTTTGGCATTTTCTAAATCCAGTATATTAAATAATCCCTTCTATTATAAAGGTCTAAAAAGTATGAGATAGTTTTAAATCTCTGCAGTAATAGCAGTTACCTGACGAAGCTAGCTCCAAAGTGAATTTAAGTATGCTTTAAATGTGGATCTAGGGACATTTTATACGTGTCTACTTTAATAAATATATGGGATGTCTGTTCCTCTACCCCTAGGAAGATGCAGAAATATTCTTAATTATCTGTATTTTTGTAAAATATTCCCTTAAATGTCAAAACTAGAAAAGATAACATTTCTCCCTATATATAATATACATAAAAAATATACATATACACATATATATATACATACATATGTATATATATTTACACAAGGTCTCGTTCTGTCACTGAGGCTGGAGTGCAGTGGCATTATCACAGCTCACTGCAGCCTTGACATCCTGGGCTCAAGCAATTCTCCCGCCTCAGTCTCCCAAGTAGCTGGGACTATAGGTGCACACCTGGCTAATATTTGTGGGTTTTTTTTTTTTTTTGTAGAGACAGGATTTTGCCATGTTGCCCAGGCTGGTCTTGAATTCCTGTGCTCAAATGATCTACCTGCCTCAGCCTCCCAAAGCACTAGGACTACAGGCATGAGCCACTGCAACCAGCCAAGGACACATACATATTTTAAGATATATCTTTAAAATTAAGAAAAATCTGAGAAAAGAAAAAAAAAATCACAATACTCAAGACACCACGGTTCTCAAACTATGCACCAAGGCACTCAAAGCCACTGAAACAAACTCACATAGACACAAGGTGAACTATTAGCTTGTGGTCAGTTTTCAACACAGCATCATGCTACATTCCATTTAATGGTGTCATGTTTGCAAAGCTGGCTGGGTTTTCAGTGGCTGTGGTGATTAAAAACGTGTATGGTGCAAAAATCAGCATGAAACAGAAAATGAAGATGGCAGTGATTTGATAAGCTATACAGTGCTCAACAGATGCAGATATCCCAATTATAGTTAACTCTAAGAATGAATTCTTTCATTTACATACAACATTTTTTTCAAATGGCTATGTTGTTAGGACATAACATTTTGTTTAATAATTATTAATAAACGGAACTGTTACTTTGACCTAGAGACACTATTAAAATTACTAAGGAACTGTGAAGAAGAATGTTTCGGAACTCTGTATTAAATTCACATCAGGTACTCTAGCACCCTGATTAAAAAAAGAAAAAACAAGTAAAAAATGCCATTCAAAATGTATCTTATTCGATGATGTATCCTTACACTTCTCTTTAAGCAAAAATATAACAAAATAGGCCAGGACAGCAGCATAACCATTAAATTAAGTAAATAAATACTACAAGCCATCTCATTTCTTTAAAAAATCTCTGGGTACTGGCCAAGCGCAGTGGCTCATGCCTGTAATTTCAGCACTTTGGAAGGCCGAGGCAGGTAAATAACTCGAAACACGGAGTTTGAGACTAGCTTGACCAACAGGGCAGCAAAACCCCATCTCTACCAAAAATACAAAAATTAGCCAGGAGTGGTGGCACATGCCTGTAGTTCCAGCTACTCAGGAGACTGACGCAGGAGAATCACTTGAACCCAGGAGGTGGAGGATGCAGTGAGACAAGATGTACCACTGCACTCCTGCCTGGGCATAGAGCAAGACTGTCTGGAAGAAAAAAAAAAAAATCCCTGGGTATTTATCACAAACTTTTGGGAAATCTGAACTGTGTGATATATGGCTAATTCAGTCACTAAAGAATCATGTTATTCTAATTATTGAATCTGAATAGGAATATTGGGGTATGCTAATGGCATTATTCTACTTACTACTTTTGTGTATTCTTGAACATTTTCACAATAATTTTAAGAAGACTGTTGAACACCTAACAGTCATGATATACATTATTCATGGTACTCTCCCACAAGCAAAATAAGCACTATAAATAAGCAGTTCAATCTCCTATATCCTCACTACTAATCACAAAATTGAAGTTGTTTTCCAAAAGAATCAAAAGATGAGATTTTCTTACACTTGATACATTTTTAGTCCACTGAAACATTCTTATTTATAGTATCACTCATCCTAATGCAATTAGATAAAGGCATCTTGACAAAAGGCTCTTGCATTTTCCACACCATTTATGTAGCCATATTAAGTGGGAATTTTAAAAAGTTTTCGCTAATAATGTTATTTTTTAAAAAAGAAGGTTTTGGCCGGTTTCATATTGTCTAAAGAATAGTAATATATACATAAGGAATGACATTCTGAAATATTAAAAAATGCATGTATTGATTAGAATTTGACACACTATTTGAAAACAGTGAGGTTAACGTAAGATTCCTAGATGCTTTGCTTAGAATATAATTTATATAAGTTCATTAGAATAATTCACCAATAATCTACTAAAAAAACAAAAAGCAAAAACAAAAACAGCTCTGTGGTGTTTAATATAGCTTTTGATTTTAAAAAGTATCATTTTAAGAGACAGAATGTCAGTTTTGAAATATAGGAGTTCAAGATAAAAACCTAATACTTGTTTTTTGTTTTTTTTTTTAAGACAGAAAACCTAATACTTTTTGTTATGAGTTATCCTGAAACAGGAAAAAGTTTTCAAAATATACTTGTGTTAAATACAGTCTTCTCAGATAGCAGAAGGCAAGGCAAGGGCATTGACTTGAAAGGAAACAGACCACAGTAATATGGCTGCCTGAAAGTAACTATGGAATTCAGTTTCTCAACATGATTATTTCTTCTAATCTTCATATTGATGACTCACTAGTACATTTACTTTTGATAGGTTTAATCAACTCTGATAACATAGTTCCAAACAATTAAAAGGACCTGATTTATGTATCAAACAAAGGTTAATTTGTTCTTGAGAAATGACAAAAGATTTGGTCAAATGTAAATGAATATGCAAGAAGTCACATAAGTCTGTGTATACATACATACATATGACTTTAATTTTATAAGTCCATGTGTATACACACACCTTTAGCTCATCATTTAAATAAAAAGCTAACCAATCAATGTTTTATGTCCATATGCCCCCCATTAACACTGAGCAAAATATTAACCCCTCCTATCTATGTAAGGGAAATAGAGTAAGTTGTTATATAGAAACCCTTGACACTACATGCAATTTCTCATGTCCCTTATTCTGATAATGTCTGTCCTCTTGGCTCTCACTTCTTGGACTTTCTCATAAATATGGAAGCTTCATGACAAATTGTGAAAACCATCATTTCCTCCTTTATGAAGTATACTGAAGACAAAAGGGATTAAAGCCGTTTCACATTTAGCAAAGCTATTTTATGGCAACATTGTTACAACACAAAATAGACATTGCAGATTACAATTAACAATTACATAGTGATTTCATAACAATTAATACTACTTACTCCAATTAACAAAATATTTCTTTATAAAAAATATGTTCAAAAGGAAGTTTACATTCACATCTTCATTTAATATCAAGGTTGTAACAATGGTCTTAGGAGATGCAAAGACAGAAAACTACTCACCTTAAAAATCTGTATTCTTGAAAGATATATACTCCACTTGGATACTGCTCAACGTTCAGGTTTCCTGGACAACTCAAGAGGATACTGGAGTTGTACTTAATATACCCAAGAAATAGCCGAATTTCCTAAGCTCTCATAATTTTTCTAACCAAGGGCCTTAACAAAGTTAAAAGACACCACAGGGTTCAAAAGTGAACAAATATGTTGCTTTTGGTTTTTTTTTTGAGATGGAGTCTCACTCTTGTCGCCCAGGGTGGAGTGCAGTGGTGCTCTCTGCCCACTACAACCTCTATCTCGCAGGTTTAAGCGATTCTTACACCTCAACCTCCCAAGTAGCTGAGATTACAAGCATGAACCACCATGCCCAGCTAATTTTTAAATTTTTAGTAAGATGAGTTTTCACCATGTTGGCCAGGCTGGTCTCAAACTCCTGACCTCAAGAGATCTGCTTGCCTTGGCCTCTCAAAGTGCTGGGATTACAGGCGTTAACCAGGGCGCCCGGACAAAAATATGTTAATGAGTAAATTCAGATGGCGCTGCTCAAATGATTCTAATTCAAGAAACTTAGGTTGCAGGTAGGTAATCTCTAGTTCTCTAAAGAATACCCAAATGACAGGAGGATTTATGTGGTGGTGCAGTAATAGCTCAGTCTCAGTTTCATGACCTAGCTAAAGTCAGAACTGAGGCAGTGGCTACAGCATAGGGGTGGCTTTCTCTTCTCTGAAGGAAAAGTAAAAGGAGTAGGAAGAAAGAGGTGAAACAATAGCCTATGCAGTTGTTGCCTAGATCTCGAAATTAGCAACAAGTATGTCAGGTGTCCTAACAGGCCCTGGGGGTGTCTGACATACAACATAATATAGGTAGTAGAATCAGTTCTAGAATCTGGTTCCTGGATCTGAATTTAGCTCTAAGAACCTCAGCAAGACAGTCTCTATGGCCTGCATTTGCCTGCATTTCTTTCCTATAGGTTTAACAAAGATTAATCTGTAAGTTTGATGAAAATAGGCTAGGTACAGCCCTCAGTAAGAATTTATTCTGGCTTGCAGATTTAAAACTGTAAATGCTTGAATCTACCTTCCGATTCTAATCTTATTTAATTTGACATCTGTTTATTGTATTTCTTTTTAACTCCTCAGGTTATAGTAATAATAGGCCTCCAAGGTTAACAAATGGTTAAAGTTCAGTGAGACACCGAGGCCTCTTCAATACATAAAAATAAGGTTGGAAGTTACCATCTTGACACTCTTTGGGGGATTCTGTATCTCTTCCCTTGCCATTAAATGAAATCTTCAGAAATTTAAGAGTTAACAATGCCACCATTACTGCTGTCAAATCCTTCAGTGATTAAAAAGATATCCAGGTTCCCTCAATCATCTGGCGTGGTTAAACGACTTCAATAAGAAAAGATGTGCTTTCCAAGTGTGGAGACATCCAACCTGTATTCAGTTCCCCATTACATTCTGGATTTGGGCCAATGAAAGGAGCATCCATTGGGGTGATAGCTAAGGCATGTCCTCACCACATATCAGTGAGACTTCTGGAGGGGAGTAGCATGGAATGGTGATTACAACATTGGGCAAGAGGACATCAGAGAACTTCTGAAAGACAGGGCTATCTCTAGAAACCCACCTACTCTAAGTAAGGAGACAATTAAACTTTCAAAGCCCATTTATCCCTGATGGTCAATTATACACAGAGAACTTCCTTTTTAAGATAGCCTGGATTCTAACTGTAGCTCCCAACAATTAGCTATTTATAAGTGATGATGGGTGACTTCACTACCGTCAAAGCCAGAGCATATTCTCTGTCAGCTTTTCAAAAAACATGCAGTAAAGAGAGATGTCTATCAGGAGAACTTTAATGGGTGTTTTTCAAGGGTCATCTCACAGCAGAAGAGTCCTCAAGTGGCCAGACGTTGCCAACAGCTTCAAAAAAAAGTAACTAGGATTTCACTTTACAGTGCATTTAGATGTTTCCCTTTGTGTCATAACTGATGATAAAAGAACTTAAACCACTATCCAGCTTCTCCATTCTGTTTCCTGTTATGCTTTTTCTTGTTTACAAAATAGGAATTTAGGGCTGGATTGGATGTTGAAAATTTAATACAGTTACCTCATGTCACAAAGAACAGAAATGATTTGACCAAGTTCATATTGTTGTTTAATGACAAGGCAAAGCACTAAAGATGGATAGTCCTACCTTCCTAATTTGAATCTCCTTATTCTCTACAGGTTAGGGTCAAGTTACTCAGTAAAACAGGCTATCAGGAGGTTAAGCCCAAACAGTGAGGATAAAAACGTTTATGATGCTTCTTTGACTACATGCATGCAGTTTACCTCAAGATTAAGGGATTAAAAAAAGACTAGAAAACAGCGTAACCCTATCTCCTAAATATACCTAAAGACATGTCTTTAGAAATTATAGCAGGCTGTTATTTCTAACAGAGCTGATGATCATAGATGGAGCCTTTAAGGTAGGAGTGGGTATTTGGTTCTTAAAAATGATTCTGTGCCTGCCAATCTTAGGAATAAATGATGCTTTCAATAATTTGCCTCTGTCTACCTAAAAGGTACAAAGAAAAAAATATATATTTAATTAAATACAGATGTATCCCAGGTAGATGGTAAGTAATGGGAATAAAGTCATGATATGCCCAGAATAACCAATGATGAATGCTATTAGCCAGGTAGTCACCATTCTATTCTTAATCAAAAATAAGCATCCCATAAGTTTATATAATGTTAGGTGTCACAATGCATTCAATGAAAGGACAATCAAGACTAAGGAAACTTGACATTTAATTCTGAAATTCATTGAGTAACCACGCCTAAGCTGAGTTTATTTTCTTGACTATAAAATGGAAGTGCAACCTTTAACTTTTCTCAGTGGCTCAGATGAAATACTGTGAAGGTACAGAGTAATGCTACATGGCACAAAGCAAAAAGTGCTGTGCAAAAGAAGACAGGGTGCTAAGTATTAGGAAAGTTCTGAGTTCCAGAAAATTGAGATTTTTTAAGAAACTATGTCATGTCAAGATGTGTTTTGGAGAAACAATTTTCCCAGTGTTATATTAAGAAGTATATACTAACTATATATTAGGAGGGATTATATAAAAGGTGTTCAAAAAACAAGTGTCAGGAAAACACTAAGCAGAATTTAACAACTGCTTTTAACTTCAGAATTTCTCAGTTTTGAATATAAGTATGGCATGAATCTCATGTCCAACAAAGGACAAGTGAGCTTCCTTTCCCCAAACTTATACGACCACCTAATCCTTTTTACATGGACCTTCTCAGTGGAGCAGTGTTCCTTACGACATACTTAGGGAACACACATTCTTACTATCTATTTTTCCAAAATTCCTATTGTTTGCTTCAATACAAAATCCTAAGACACTGTGGCTAGAAAATTTATTTTTCATATAAACATAAATGTGTACTGACACATGTTGATGTCGTTCAGCATTTGATAAGTTGTCTATTCTAGCTCTCAAATAACATGACTCTAAATCTGTTAAGACCAGATCATTAACCCATCCTCTTTCCAGAAGGCCATGAGTACCTCCTCATCAGGATAGAAAATGTACCCTTTAAGTTTTGTAGGAGTCAATTACCCCTATGTCTTGGGGACAGATTGCTGTTAAGACAGACAGAAACTCTTCCCTTGCTGGTCCAGCAGCAGTTTTCTTGTTCTCTGGACTAGCCAGAATAAAAAGATAACTTCTGCCATGCATCATTTTGTTGTTTAACACTGAATCCCAAATCAAATTTCATACCTGATTAATAGATCTGACCTTTTCAACTAGAAAAGAGGCAGCAACCTGAGATGGAAATGATAAGAGAAAAACATGGTAACATTCCTAGCTAAAATACTGAGAGAAATGGAGAGTTTAAGTCAACCACTATCTATTTTTACAGTACTTATGTGAGTGTTATAAAAGATCTGTTAGAAACTGGTGTCAATGGAAACAAGTCCTGCACCAGTTCTTGAATCATCTCTTATAGCTAGTAGAAAGGATTACAAGGTTAAGCAAACATCTTGCATGGATCAAGACTGTTCCCAGACGTCTGAGCAATGAATAATATGTCTATAGATTAGACCTAAGAGTTCATTTTACAACTGTTTACTAGATGATATAAGCATAACTCCCATTTGTAAGCTGTAGGTATGCATCAAGGCTTCTGCGATCTCAGAGCTGTTTCTCTGACCAGCAAAAGAGATTAAAATGCTCCTCTTGACCTCTATCTGCATTACATCAGAAACATCACTGAGCCAATTTCTTCTGAGGAGAGAAGAGAAACCTTCTATGCAAGGCTGCAGGAGGCTGGTAATATAGAGACAGGAGAATAAAGCTCCTCACTAATAAACAGGCTGACATTGAACAACATGGCATCTATGTGGAACATGGTTTGCAAACATTTTAAGACCATTCATAGACATCTGAGACCACTCAGTTTCTTCCTCCCAGGGCTGTGAAATAAGATTCAAAAGTAAATCAACAAATTCCTGGTGCTTTCCACGTTATAGTAGCTTACATTTTACAGCCTCAGTGCCCTTCAAAAGTGGCTGGAATAGCCCACCTATACCTTTAGCTGATATGTTCATCTCTCACCCATTGGAGAAATAAGATTACTTATAGAAAAAATTGATTCTCCAAAAGGAATATAAACACAGTAAGTAACACTGGTAAATAACGGATGTTTCTAACAGTTCTTAGAAACTGGGAAGGAGACAGAAGCCTATTACTACCCCAAACTCACTCACCTTCATACATCTTCTTCACAGAGACATCAATAGCCACAGCGACTTTATACATAAATAAGTGAGGCAAAGGCAAAGGCAAAAGCAGTATCAATCTGTCTGAGTGTAGGCAATGGTACTTTGATTATTTACCCGTACAAACTCTTCAGTCCCTTTTGGTTATCCCCAACTCAGCTCTTAAGCCGTAGATTTTTGCTGTAGAGAACTCAGATGTGATGTAGCTGGCTCCAGTAACTCTTTTCACAGTACTGCATGTCAATAATGGGAATGATTTCTAATCAATTTAAACTGCACACGGTACTTTAAGAGAACAAGTTTATTACTCCCACTCAGTAGTTCCTGGGGGCTTTGATGTTAAGTCATACATAATTCGAGAAATACCAGGAATCTTCTTAATCTCAGTGACCATCTTTAACACCACCTGTTATTTAAAAAAAAAAAAAAAGATTATATAGAAGAGCCAGCATCCACTGCATGGCCAACAGTCCTAGAGGGCTTCCATTTACAATTTAAAATCAAAATTTGACTATTTTCACTATTGTCCTCCATGTGTATGGGAGAGTTTCTGATTAATCTTACAAATCAATCTATTCTACTCTGCAGGGATATTTTAAGTTAATAAGGTTTAAAATACTAATGACTTAAACTCAGTACTACTCAAAGTGTGATCCACAAACAGGTGCTAGTCTGCAAGTTGTGTTTGTGACTGACCCACAAGTGCTTAAGAACATATAGCAATTTGACATTGCTGTGGAATCCAAGCATGTGATTTTATGTGTTTAACCCAATGCTCTGCAAATTATCTGTGGTTTAAACATACAATTCTAATGGCCACGAAGGTGGCACAGAGTACACCGTAATAATAATTATCAAGTACATAAGAGAAGAGGATAGCCTGCTCACTTGTCAAATTTGAGCCTATGAGAAAACTGACTCTAAGCCACATTCCCCAACCCAGCTACCTCACTATAACCACAGCCTCAAATCAGTGCACTGGAGGCAGCGGCCCAACTAATACAGTCTCACTTTGATTTTCACTAGCTATTATGCAAGTAGCTCCTTTGGAATGTTCTGGTAGAGACAAAGAAGGATCAAAAATTGAGTTGGAATCAGTAGTAGGCAGAATATTTAGGCAATTCTTGGGTGTCTGGCCATAAAGCTATCAAATTGCATCCTTATTTCTAACAAACTCTTCTTCGCTCCTAGAGTTTTCTTCTTTATTTGGGGAATACTATTTGTAAAGTAGAAACTGACAGGATCAGATAAAATTATAGATTAAATTGATTACTTTCTATAGAGTAATCAAACATTTGGAGAGCATATGAAATTTATCTGCACCAGTGTATTAATCAAATATGCAAAAATTTAAAAAAAGAAAAAGAAAAAGGGCCTATCTTAAGAACAGAAAACCAACATCAGAAATACAACACTGGTATAGCCTATTCCATTCACCATATTATAAAATTAAGAGGTACTGAGAATGTACATTAGAAAAAAAAAATATGAATTACCTCTACAGGGATCTCATTGCCAGGTGTTGCAGGTATACCAGTCATGAAGTCACTAGTAATAAAGGTTCGAATAACTACAGATCTCTGGCATGAAGGCTGCTTTTGAAGTGGGTCCCGATCAAAATGTAATGGTGTCAAAATCACCGGCATCTGGCTGATTTTCCCAGCATACCCTAGAGAAAGGTACAGAACCAATCACCACACCATAGAAAAGCACTCTAATTCAGTTTAATTAAATCCTCCCAGACAGTATCTGAAATCACATATACACACACAGCACAGTTAAGACTGTCATCATGCATTGATTTCAGCTACTCCCATGGCATTTTAAGTGGACTCAACCACAAATGCAAAAAAAAACAGAATTTGACCACATCAATGATGTTTCACTGATATACTATAAAGAGAAAGAGTCAATTCTTATTATTCTTAGTTATAATTTGCAGTTGCAAATAACAAACTAGCAAATACTGAATCATTTCTCCTAGGGGAAATGGAGGGTTAGATTCTTGCAAGCTTCTGGCTGTAATATTTTTATCAATTGATTAATATGTAACCTTGTTTTATGTGTTTTTCTGACTTAAGACACTGTATTTAATATTTAATATATTCATTAACACTGAATTCACAGTCAACAGCTCTTTAACTCATGTCTGAATGAAGCTTATCTAATAAAGATTTTCTCTGTACGGTACATCACAGCATTCCTGTGCTTAGGAACCCAGACAGCACTTCAACACTACTTGAAATCCATTTTAAACAGAAACAAAAGGCACAAAAATGCAAAAGATAAAGCATCAAGGAGACCAAGAAAAAGACACTTGTTCACATTATGAGAGCTGAAACAAGAAGGTAGAGGTTCACCTTGTTTGTTCAAACTCAGCTGGGAACATCTAAGTCTTGATATTCAAATTTTCTGCTGCTCTGTGCATGTCCACAAATGATCACAAAGGTGAGTATATTTTATTTAGAAGTAGCATTATTGGCCAGGTGTGGTGGCTCATGCCTGTAATGCCAGTACTTTGGGAGACCCAGGTGGGTGGATCACCTGAGTCAGGAGTTCAAGACCAGCCTGGCATAACCCTGTCTCTACTAAAAATACAAAAATTGGCCAGGTGTGGTGGCAGGCACCTCTAATTCCAGCTACTCAGTAGGCTGAAGCAAGAGAATCACTTGAGGTTGCAGTGAGCCAAGATAGTGCCACTGCACTCCAGCCTGGGTGATAGAGCAAGACAGACTCCATCTCAAAAAAATAAAAAAGAAACAACATCATAGAACATTCAGAGATTTAAATAATAAAAACAAAGGCTGGGCAAGATGTCTTGCTCCTATAATCCCAGCACTTTAAGAGGCCAAGGCAGAGGAGGTCGGGAGTTCCAGACCAGCCTAACCAACATGGAGAAATCCCATCTTTACTAAAAATATAAAAATTAGCCAGGTATGGTGGCGCATGCTTATAATCCCAGCGACTCGGGAGGCTGAGGTAGGAGAATCACTTGAAACCCAGAGGCGGTGGTTGTTGTGAGCCGAGATGGTGCCATTGCACTCTAGCCAGGGCAACAAGAGCAAAATTCCATCTCAAAATGAATATATAAATAAAATAAATAAATAAACATCTAAAAAGCAAAAGCCACATCCTCCTACTCTTAATGTCAAGTTTCCAAAATCTAGTTTCAGAAGGTAGTGATCAAAAACATGAGCAACTTACCAGACTCCCTGAGAATATTATGGGCCTCAAAATCAGCTTGGCGTAAAGTACTGAGCACACCTGTTGTCAAGAAAGTGGGAGTAACATCTGTAGGAGGTTCTTTAACTGGTGGCCCAAATATATAAACAACTCTAAAAAGGAAGAGGTAAAATTATAGTGCAATTACATTTTAAATGTAGAAATTACATTTTAGTATAAGCAAGACACATAGAACAGTAACATTCTTTCCATTTCCCACTTAGTTTGAGGTCCTTCTCCTGCCCACTTCAACTCCCTAAATGGATAGGACAGGATATAAGATTACAGGAATGTCTGTGTTCTATGTGCTTTCCTCAAAGTGTGTTCTCTGGAATATTCTCAGAATGTGCAAAGATTTAAGTGATTATTATGACTCTCTTTTCACTTAATGTACTGGGTTGAAGAATGTTCCCAAAACTTCATGTCCATCCAGAATCTCTGGGGAGAAAAAGGGCCTTTGCTGATGTAATCAAGTAAGATAAAAGTAATACTGGATTAGATGGGCTCTAATCCAATGACTGGTAACCTTCCAAGTACCGAGAAACTTGGATACATAGACATACACAGAGGAATGAGGGTCATGTGAACACAAAGACAGACTGGATTATGCTGCCGCAAGCCAAGGATTGTCAGCAGCCACCATATAGTAGAAAGAAGCAAGGAAGGATCCTCCCCTTGAGTCTTCAGAGAGAATATGACTCTGCCAACACTGAATTCAGACTTCTGGCCTGCTAAACTGTTAGAGAATAAATGTCTGTTGTTGTAAGCCTCCTAGTTTGTGGTAATTTGTTATGGGTAGTCCTAGGAAACAGATACACAGTTAAAATTTAAAAATGGGTGTCTTTATGACAAGACTTCAGAAACTAGTAATATACTATACTAAGATACACTGGAAATCTCCAAGAGGAAACTACAGTGAATTTCCCAAAATTAGTTGACTATTCATCTTCTTTTCTCTACTTGAGAAACAATCATCCTAGAGAGATTCGCATTTGCACTTCATTAAAAAGGCCATTGAAATAGGATTTTGTATCCTAATTTCTTCCAAAAAAAGATTCATTACAGTTTTATATAAATGTCTGAAAGACATTAAGATACAATGCAAATATCGTCATGTTAACGAGAGTGCAGTTTAGAACGTAACTTAATGAAATTAAAATCAGACAATTTTAACAACTTGAAGTGTGATGTTTTGGTTTGAAGGGACCTGTTTCACAATCTTCACCCAGAAAACAAGAGGGAATCAGGGTAGAGATATGAGTGCCACTTAGCTAATTCTCCCTACTCCAACTCCAGCCAGTAGACAGTTACTGCTTTTCATTAGTCTTATTTTTAGCAAAGAAAATGAATCTCCCCGGCAACTATCATGATAAAGTTTCGATTTTTTCTTCTTTTTTTCTTAATATATACTTAGGTAAAATACGCAAAAGAAAACCATATTAGCACAAAACCACCAACACCACCAATTACTTTATTGTCTCCTTCCAAACACTGTAAGTTTTTTTCCCATGTACAGACAGTAAGCTATACTTTTAATAAACAATATAGTTCCTAGAGCTCATAAAAGATATTTAGAGGAGAAAGTTAAGAGAATGCCATGAACTTTCTCTTTTCACCTTCTCATTTCTTACAAACAAGAGTAATCACTAGAATGTACTGGGACAGGTATTCACCCACACTGCATATGACAGTAAAACTGGAACAGTCCCTCCCTGTACAAAGAATCCCTCATCCAAATTAGGGAAAAAAACTGGAAAAAATGGAAGAATATTTTTCTTCCATTTTTGGAACTGGCAAAGAAATCTAAAGTTCACCAAAATTCTTTTAAGAGCTTGCTGGGTTCATATTTTGAAATCTAGTTTTTTGTTGGCGGGTCATAAGGATTCTTTTTTATTTTTATTTTTTACTGCATTTTAGGTTTTGGGGTACATGTGCAGGACATGCAAGACAGTTGCATAGGTACACACATGGCAGTGTGTTTTGCTTCCTTTCTCCCCTTCACCCACATTTGGCATTTCTCCCCAGGCTATCCCTCCCCAGCTCCCCCGCCCCCGCTGGCCCTCCCCTTTTCCCCCCAATAGACCCCAGTGTTTAGTACTCCCCTCCCTGTGTCCATGTGTTCTCATTTTTCAAGGATTTTTATTTTTTTCTTTTTTGAGAAGGGAGGAAGGAGGACAGAAGAAGAGACAAATAGGGAAAACAGAGAGAAACTATAATATACAAATAAAGTTTAAACAAGGATGTGTGCCCTTTGGCAAAAGAAAAAGGAGATAAAACTGTAAGAATACTGTGAATGAAGAAATATACTAATTACATAGTAAAAGCCGTGGAATTAAATTTAGGGAAACTGTGATATGTGAAATTTATGTAGTATTCTTCAGAAGACAAATTATGAGCGACTGTTCTAACCAAGACAATTATCTCCACTCAAAACAGACAATTACAAATTTATCATTATTGAATTTTTTGGCGGGGGGAAAGGGTCTCACTCTGTTGCCCAGGCTGGAATGCAGTAGCACGATATTGGCTCATGCAACCTCCACCTCCCAGGCTCACTCAATCCTCCCAAAGTCACTGGGACTATGGGCACATACCACCATGCCCAGCTAATTTTTGCATTTTTTGTAGAGATCTGGGCTCAAGTGATCCATTTGCCTTGGTCTCCCTCAAAGTGGTAAGATTACAACATGAGCCACCATGCCTGGCCCCCATTATTGAAGATATTAATAACTCTATTTTTCAGTATATTAAAGATGCTTCTATACGTGGGGGTCTTCAGTTCATTTGAGTAAGCCTTTGAATGAGCATGTTTCCATCAGTAAAAATGTGGCTTTCCTGTAACTCCTTATTCTCTAATTATACAGACTCTGCTAGGTTAACATTAAAAGGTAAACTTCTAATTTCTGCAGCAATTTGAGTAAAATGAAACCTCAAGTAATTCTTTTTGGTGGTTGACTGCCTAACACCCATGAAGAAAAGCGAAGAGTGTGAATAACTGTGAAATAAGAACATTTAATTAGGAATCTAGTAAAAAGTAAGTGAATTTTTGAACCATATATGGTATGAAGCAATTGAGTATTAGAAAGATTATAAATCAGCTGTTGATATATCCAATGTAAGACACTGATATGTAAATTAAAGAAAAATTAATCTAAAATGTAAATTATATATTTAAATGTAACTATTTTAATGCTATCTGGCACATGCCTATTTCTTTTCTTTGATTTTTCCTTAGGGTTACTACTAAATTAAGCAAGTCTTCATTTTTGTTTGTGGGGGTTGTTTTGTAGGGGTGGGGGGGGTGCATGCGTGTGTGTGTTATGCACTCTATTTGTAATTCTGTAACCTGGACATACTTGTTTCAATCCTTCTGGAATAAAACATATTACCACAAAACCAATAGCTAATATAAGCCACTAATTTAGAAGGTGTGTTTTACAGCTGCCTTTAATATTTTACACTAAAAATAAAAATCTTTCTCCTTTAAATAATTTCTTAGGCTGGGCATGGTGGCTCCCGCCTGTAATCCCCAGCACTTTGGGAGGCCAAGGTGGGCGGATCATGAGGTCAAGAGACGAGACCATCCTGGCCAACATGATGAAACTCCATCTCTACTAAAAATACAAAACTTAGCTGGATGTGGTGGTGTGCGCCTGTAGTCCCAGCTACTTGGGAGGCTGAGGCAGGAGAATCACTTGAACCCAGGAGGCAGAGGTTGCGGTGAGCCGAGATGGTCACTGTACTCCAGCCTGGCAACAGAGTGTGACTCCATCTCAAAAAAATAATTTTTTCACAGATGATTACCTTGTGATGAAGCATCGGAACACAAGATAATATTAAATATCTACTTAACTGTGACCTATGGGCATATCTGAATTATAAACACAGTCATTTACTCTTATCTATATCACCTGCTTATATCTACACTTGAGCCTTTTGGTCTTTCATTAATAGAAAGCCCTTAAGAAACGCATCCTTCCATTACACTAACCCCGCCCTGGCTCCTGTGGAACACACCTGTTAACGTTGTGACACATTCGAGGTATAAGCCTAGCCAGAAAAATAAGAGATTCCCAGTCAGGTTCATCTTTACTGGAGATTCCACACACGTAACTGTAGGAACGACAGTCACCCTGAAAATAAAAATATAATCAATAATTTTTCATAATGAAAAGATGCACTGGTTCAATTTGAGAAAGCTGTTTTTTTTGTTTTGTTTTGTTTTTTTAAATGAAGCAGCAGCAAAGGAAAGGGAAAGGGGCAAGGGAAAAAAAAAGGAAAAGGAAAGGAAAGGAAGCATTGAAAAATAACTTATGCATGGTGACACTTTTTTTTTTTTTGAGACAGAGTTTGCTCTTGTTGCCCAGACTGGGGTGCAATGGCACAATCTTGGCTCACTGCAACCTCTGCCTCCCAGGTTCCAGTGATTCTCCTGCCTCAGATTCCCAAGTAGCTGAGATTACAGGCATGTGCCATCACGCTCGGCTAATTTTGTATTTTTAGTAGAGACAGGGTTTCTCCATTTTGGTCAGGCTGGTCTCAAACTCCTGACCTCAGGTGATCTGCCTGCCTAGGCCTCCCAAAGTGCTGGGATTACAGGCGTGAGCCTCCACGCCCAGCCAGTGACACTATTAATAGTAATTTTTTGTTTGTTTTTTGAATAAGAACATATTACTTGAATGATATAATTTCAATGAAAGTATATATTAGATGCTTCTCAAATGGTATAAATAAATTCCAAATTAAAATCCTGTATTAAATCCTACCTAAATCAGTTAAAACATAAATCAAGTATCAAGTACTATCAAAAATTTTTGCTGAACAAGGTGGGATAATCCCAGCACCTTGGGAGGCTAAGGTGGGTGGATCACCTGAGGTCAAGAGTTTGAGACCAGCCTGACCAACATGATGAAACACCATCTCTACTAAAAATAAAAATAAATTAGCTGGGCGTGTGGCATGCACCTGTAGTCCCAGCTACTCGGGAGGCTGAGGAAGGAGAATTGCTTGATCCCAGGAGACAGAGGTTGCAGTGAGCAGAGACTGAGTTACTGCACTCCACCCTGGGTGACAGAGCAAGACTCTGTCTCAAAAAAAAAAAAAGAACTTATTCAACATTCCTATTACCTGCACACCTGTGGATAACCAGCATATTTAATTTGGCAGACAAGGCCAGGAACAGAGGCTCACACCTATAATCCTAACACTTTGGGAGGCAAGGGTGGGTGGGTTAGTTGAGCCCAGGAATTCGAGACCAGCCTGGACAACATGGCAATCACCTATCTCTTAAAAAAACAAACAACAAAAAAAAACAAAATTAGCTGAGCAGCGTGGTGGCATGCACCTGTAGTCCCTGATACTCAGGAAGCTGAGGTGGGAGGATCACCTGAGCCCAAGGAGCTTGTGGCTACACTGAGCAGTGATCATGCCACTATGCCACTACACTCTAGCCTGGGCAACCGAGTAAGACCCCATCTCAAAAAAATATATATTATAAAATTATTTTAAAAACTATAATTTGGCAGACAAGATCTGCCCATGATTTTTGAGTAAAGAATTCTTAAGTGGGAGACAAAAACAATTCACACTTACTTACCAAAATGTGTTTCAGTATCAGCTTAAAAGTTAATTTTAAAATAAGTAAATAAAGCTGATTATAATGTATTCTCTTTTCCTGCGTCCTGTCTAATCCAAGTAATTTGTTTTTTTATGAAAAGCAATTTTAAAAAGTAACAGATTAGAGAAGTACCTAATGCCCAGAATGGCAGGTACTGAGAATGTGAAAATTCAACATATGTGAATGCTAATGTGATATAGCATCTATAAAAGTGTAAATGCACATGCTCTTTAACACGGAAAATGATCCTACATAAACAGATGGATAACTGACGGAATGCCACTAATAGTAAAAGCTGAGAACAGTTTAAATGCCCATTGGTTAGAAGAATAAATTATGGTATGCAGAGAATATGAGGGAACAGTTAAGAACAATCTACTTGGAAAGGTACAGAAAGGTAAGTTCACGATGTTCAGTTAAAAGAAAAAAAGCTGACAATGTGTACCCAAAATCCTCTTTTATTTTCTTTTTAAAATGTTTCCACAAAAAAAAGATTTAAAATAATAATAATAATAATAAAATGTTTCCAGAAAGACACATATGAAACTTAACTGGAGAGTAAAAATACAAAGAATTTTTTTAATGTATTTTGATTTTTTATAAATGTGGTTTACTTTGGTATTTAGAAAATAAAATGCATTGTTATACTAACCATGAACCATCTTTTTTATCTGAGCTTGCAAGAGTCTAAGCTTCAAAGGGTAAGAGACTAAAGTTAGTTATCTAATAACAAAAGAAAATTTTATTTTGGTGGGAAAAGTAGCAGAGCCCAAATAAGTTTCAATTTCAAGAAACTTGTTGAATGTTCACTCATTCAACAAATCATATTATCTCAAATATCTATATTTTATAACACTTCTCTAAAAAAAAGAGTGGGGAACCATTTCAACTCAACTCCCTGTGTAGTAGGAGTTAGCATACAGAGGTGGAAGTTCTCTGTAACAAATCTACTTAAAACTGAGAACACCTTTAATAATTAAATAACCTGTCCCCACAACTGTATTTTTATCTAGTAGGGTAATACTGCCTATAAGCATCATTGCAAATTTCAAAATAAATTTGTGTATGAATGAGATAATCCATAAACCACTGAAAAAATATCAGTAACTCCAAGTAAGGTTATTTCAATAGTGACTCTAAAACAACATTAAGCGGCTTATGAGATTTGGCCTTTAAAATGAAGGCAAGAGTTTCTTAACCCAAATAGTTGGCTCTATCACTTTCATGAACTAAAATACTTTAGTTTGCTTTAAAAATAACAATCAATTTTTACCTTGTTTTATTTAGAGGCAGAACTACATGAATTCAAAGCAAGGCGGAATTTAAACTGACAGATTCATATATTTAGAAAAAAATATTAGGTTTTCAATGAATAATCTCTAAAACAATTTTTTTCTATGCATAATTTTACTGGAGGACATTATTAACACATTAACCCTGTAACTGGCACTTATACCATTTTTGAGTTGAACTACTGACACTTCTAGTTTCCATTTAACCACAAACTTGAAATAAAAGAAAATAAACCTTTCTCTTCCCTACCCTCCCACACTTTTGTTCACCAAAAACTCATCTGAGGATCATATAAAGGAGTGGACTAGGCACAGTGGCTCACACTTCCAATCCTAACACTTTGGGAGGCCAAAGTGAAGGATCACTTGAGGCCAGAATTTTGAAGTCAGCCTGAGCAACACAAGGAGACCCTATCTCTACAAAAAGATTTAAAAATTAGACAGGCATGGTGGTGCATGCCTGTAGTCCCAACTACTTGGGAAGCTGAGGTGGGAGGGTTGCTTGAGCTCAGCAATTCAAGGCTACAGTAAGCCATGATCACGTCACTGCACTCTAGCCTGGGCGACAGGGCAAGACCCTGTCTCCAGAAAAAGAGGAGAAATAAACGTAATCATTTTTCAAGTAGCATTTTATAATCGAGAACTATATTATTCTCACATTCTTTTATAATTAGAAAGGCAGAATAAACAAAAAACATCAGCAGAACATGTTCCCTAGTATAGGGAATACACAAGCTGAGAACACTTAAATGGTGTAACATATTCATCTGGAGGCCTTCCTGCAGTTAAAGACTTCTAAAGCCACAGTATATTTCACATCTAGAAGGATAAATGACCTCTCAATACCTGCCCTACAAGGCAGAAGTAAGCATGCTAACCCTACAGGAAATGGTTGCTTTCAATATTTGCCTTTGGTTAGCGTTCATAGATTCCAAAATTATAAAATCTCAGCCTGACTCTTTAGTTCCTATAAATATTCACTCCCTAAACATTCTATGAAATATTACCTCTTATTTCTCTAAACTTGGTATGTGTATTTACATATGTCATTTTCCTGAGTAATCCTTATTTCAGTATTAGAAAGAAGGTATCACTGGTGAATGAATTCACACAACTCACCTGCACACCTACAGTTTTAATTGGCAGCAAGAAGGCATTCAGTGAATGCAGACTTGTAATTTGCATCAGCTTCTCCTGATCCTCTTCCGTTGTGCAGGCTTTGACTCTCTGTAATAGGGTATGTGGCTGAGAAAAAAACCAAAGAGGCATTTTTTCAGTTTTAAGAAATAAGGTATTCACTCTTTTATTATTACTACTATCTTATGTATCTACACTTACTGGTTTTTAGTGGTGGATTGTATTTGGTATCTCCTTGACTTGTGTGTGCTATGCACTATGCCAGAAATTCACTCCTCAGGGCCAGGACTATGAAGTCTTAGGATAAGAAATATAAACTATATTTACATACATCAGGGCTTTAGCACCCTGTCACCAGCAAGTGATATACCTCCTCTGAGTCAAATATTATCTCTAATACTTTTTGCCATAAAGTCAGTTTTGACTGAAATTAATATAGCTCTAGTCATTTCTTTATTTACCTGGAATATGTTTTTCCATTCTTTAACTTTGACTCCTCCCATTCTTGTTGTGAATAAACTATACTTTTCACATCTACTATACTAAACAGATTTTAGCTTTCAATCTAGTTTGACAGTCTATGTTAGTCCTTTTAATTAATTATGGGTTAATAATATAGTTGAACTGCATTCTACAATTTTATTTTGTAATTATCCCATTTTTTACTCTTATTCCTTTCTTGCTGTCTTTTGAACTGATATTTTTCTCATCTCATTTATTTCCTTTTTATCGTTTTTGAAGTTAAGTCTTCTATTTCTATTCTTACAGTAGTTCCCCTTTAGTGTTAACAGGGATACTTAACAAATAATCTGTCCTTCTGGCAAATAATACAAGTATCTTTGAATTCTTTAGCTCAAATCAATCCCTTTGTGCTTACATGTAACTTCAGCTAAACACTGTTACATATTTTCTAATTAACAAGAACTAGAGATCATTTTTATGTCATCTCTCGATTTTATAATTATATTTATCATTTTATACAGTCCATTTTTGTTTCAGTTTTACTCATTTACCATCTTCTTTGCTTGGCATTCGTTCTTGTATCTCACACCTTTCTCCTGGTATCCTGCTGCTTCTCCTGAAGTCAGATCGTTACAATAATGGTTCTCAACCCTAACTGCACAAATTACTTGGACTCAGGTCCCAGCTCAGACCAATTAAATTCTAGGGCTATACATAAAGAATAGTATACTTCAAAAGCTTCCCCAGATGATTCTAACATACAGCCAGAGTTGAAAATAATTGCCTTTAGTTTCTTTTTTTTTTTGAGACGGAGTTTCGCTCTTGTTACCCAGGTTGAAGTGCAATGGTGCTATCTCGGCTCACCGCAACCTCCGCCTCCTGGGCTCAGACAATTCTCCTGCCTCAGCCTCCTGAGTAGCTGGGATTACAGGCACGCGCCACCATGCCCAGCTAATTTTTTGTATTTTTGGTAGAGACAGGGTTTCACCGTGTTGACCAGGATGGTCTGGATCTCTTGACCTCGTGATCCACCTGCCTCGGCCTCCCAAAGTGCTGGGATTACAGGCGTGAGCCACCATGCCCGACCGCCTTTAGTTTCTTAAGTAAGGAATTGTTGGCAGTAAATTCTGTTTAATCTCGAAATAACTTTATTTTGCCCTTGTTTTTAAAAGACAGTTTAGTTGTTCAAACTCTTGCCTTTACTGTTGCTTTCAGTATAATTTCCTGGGTAGGTAATTGATCTGTTCTCTGCAGTTGCTCTGTCTTTGGCAGTCCTTAATTTCTCTAAGATATGCCTACTAGGTGTCAAATTCTTTCCCTTTATTCTACTTGGGATGTGTTATGTTTCCTGAATCTGAGACATCATGTATTTTACCAGTGTAGATAAATTAATATATTTTTGTCTATTATTTGCTTCTGGATATATGTTAGCACTTACCTTATCCTTCTATCTAAACCTCCTCTAACCATATTTTCTTTATAATGATTTGTCCTAATTCTGAATACTCTCTAAACAACTTTGACTTTACTAATTCTCTCTTTAAGCTGTTTTTCACAGTTATTATTTTCATTCTTGAACTTAGATTCTTTTCAAATCTGCCCAGTTATTTTTAGTAGTCTCTTATATATCATTCTTATTATCGATAGCTTATTTCTATTTACTTTACATATTGCTTGTTAATTCCAGTAAAGTCTTTGAGGGAGGGTCTTGTTCTGATAGTTTTTTACCTTCTCTTTCATGGTGCCTTACTTCTTTATGTGATTTATATTTTTGATTATAACCTCATACTTATTGAAAACCTATCTATGAGAAGCCTTTGGGACTTAGGTAAAGATATTCTAATGAGAATCTGTACTGCTCCTTGCCTAACTCCTGTAAGTACTACCACCCAGGTCCACTTTAAAATTCTTACATTGCCAATTTTCAGACCACACACATTACATAAATTAAAACCCCAAATGTGCATAATTAAGCAGACTGGGGAACTTTTCCATTCATCTTCAATTTGGAGCCAAAGTACTGCACAGTGTGACAATATCTTATCCAATCTCTGGCCCTTCTTGGACTCAGTCTCATACTCAGACATCTGTACATGAATGAAACTGTTAAACCCAAATCCTGGACCACACAGGATTAATAGCTGTCCTCCGAGAAGCAGACAGTGTTGGCTTCTTGAAATGATACTCCCAATAAATTCCTGACAAACCATTTCCCTTGCTTTCTTGCAATACACATAAAAGAGTGCTTTAAAATACTTTATCTGGCATTTTTAAAGACTCAGGATATCTAGTCTTATATGGCTGGAAGAAAAAAATGTGCATACTGCCATAAAAATACAATGAGTTCGTGTCCTTTGTAGGGACTTGGATGAATCTGGAAACCATCATTCTCAGCAAACTGACACAAGAACAGAAAACCAAATACCGCATGTTTTCACTCGTAGGCGGGTGTTGAACAATGAGAACAGGTGGACTCAGGGAGAGGAGCATCACACACTGGGGGCAGTTGTGGTGGGGGATCTAGGGGAGGGACAGCAGGGGGTGGGGAGGATGGTAAGGGATAACATGGGGAGAAATGCCAGCTATAGTATGCACCTATGCAACAACCCTGCATGACCCACACATGTACTCCAGAACCTAAAGTAAAATTTTTTTAAAAAATGTGCATGTAAGAATATCTGTAGAACAATTTCTCCACAGTCATTTCAAAGATCATATTACTCTGAATTTTCAAATTATAAAACCCTAAAAAATTCATTATAAATGCTGGTGTATAATAAGAATCCATTCAATTTCTTGTAATGTTTAGCTGTGTCAAATTATTACCTTTTTAACACTTGCAGAAAAATCAGCTACTATTTTCAAAATATTGTTGGTTTCAGGAAAGTCTTTACAAATATAAGGTTCTTCAGCACATATTACTCTGATTGCCAGGCCAGGACCTAAAGATAAGAGTAACAATAGTATTTAACATTAATGTTATATTTCTAATATAAAAATCTAACATAAAACTGTCACTATTTTCAAAATATAAAAACTTTCCAAAATTAAAATCTATCTGCCATAAGTATTTAATGCCAAATGCAGCTATTAGTTTCCCATTCAACTCAGCATTTTTTAGAAAGCGTCAACATTCTAAAAATGTTGTAATATTTAGAATGCTGCAACATTTGAGTTATGCACACTTTTTAGTCTGCATAACTTTTTGGCATATTAGTCTCTTTTCCTAAGTTTTTTTCATCTATAAAACAGTATAATACTATCATGGCTTCCATTGTGAGGCTAAAATTAGACAATATGTTTAATTCTCTCCATATCAATCATTCGTATCCCCCTTTTTTAAAAGAGATAGACTCTGGCTCTGTCACCAAGGCTGGAGTGCAGTGGTACAATTATTTCTTAGTGCAGCCTCAAACTCCTAGGCTCACGCAGTCCTCCCACCTCAGCCACCTAAGTAGCTGGGATTACAAGCACACGCCATCACGCCTAGCTAATTTTTTCAGTCAAGATGTGGGTCTCATTAGGCTGCTCAGGCTGGTCTTGAACTCCTGGGTTTGAATGAACCCCTACCTCAGCTTCTGGAAATGCTGGAAATTACGGGCATGAGCCACTGCACTTGGCCTATCCTATTTTTACAGTTCATGTATTAGGTATCACAGAATTATCCAGTAAATACTTTTAGTTCATAACAGATGTGCCAATCTGTGCAAAAATTTTTAAGGGCATTTTCTAACATATATATTAGAGGACAGTATAATTAACCACCTTTCTCATCAACCAGCTTCAACTATCAATCCAATTTTAGGAATGGTATTATACTGTTAAAAAATATATATATATATATATATATTTTATATATAATATATATAAATTATATATATATATAAATATTTATATATATTTTATATATAATATATATAAATTATATATATATATAAATATTTATATATATATATATAATCAAATATATACATAATCAAATACCAAAAAATGTGAACTGTTATTTCTAATTTATTTTATTTTGACAGAGTCTCATTCTGTCACCCAGGCTGGAGGGCAGTGGTGCCATCTCAGCTTACTGCAACCTCCAGCTCCCAGATTCAAGATTCTCCTGCCTTAGCCACCCTTAGCAGCCACCAATAGTAGCTAATACAGGCATGTACCACCATGCCCAGCTGTTTTTTTTTTGTATTTTTAGTAGAGATAGGGTTTCACCACATTGGACAGGCTGGTCTAGAACTCCTGGCCTCAAGTGATCTACCCACCTTGGCCTCCCAAAGTGATGGGATTACAGGCATGAGCCACCACACTGGCCCACAGATCATTCTTTGCCAGCATGCAGGTTAGGGACTAAAGATCTTAAATTACTCAATCTAACTACTATATTTGATAAAAAGTACTAATCACCACATAGGCTATACATTTGTAAAACTGTTTATGGAGCCGATAATGATCATTAAGAGTATAATCTCTAGCCAAGTGTAGTGGCTCACTCCTGTAATCCCAGCACTTTGGGAGGCCAAGGTGGGCAGATCACAAGGTCAAGAGATTGAGACCATCCTGGCCAATGGTGAAACCCCATCTCTACTAAAAATACAAAAAATTAGCCAGGTGTGGTGGTGCACACCTGTAGTTCCAGCTACTTGGGAGGCTGAGGCAAGAAAATCGCGTGAACCCTGGAGGCAGAGGTTGTAGTGAGCCGAGAATGCACCACTGCACTCCAGCCTGGTGACAGAGCGAGACTCTGTCTGAAAAACAAAAACAAAAAACAAGAGTATCAACTCTGAGGTAAAAATTATTGGGGATATAACAGTGGTTCCACTGCTCTGAATCTTCATAAGTTTTGGCAAATTAGTCTCTGTCCCCAGGTTTCTTCAGCTGTGAAACAGGATACTAGTTTCTATTGTGAGGATCAAATAAGATAATAAAAAGTATTTAGCAAAGTGCCTAGCACATAGAAAGTACTTAAGAAACATTGGCTATTATGTTTTTCAATTCAATTAGGTCATTCTCCCGAATCACCACCTAATCACTATTACAATGAGCTATAACCTGATGAGGTGCAGACTTGCCCAAGCTCTCTAGTAACAAAAACAGGTTAAGACTTGTCATCCTAACTTTACAACTACCACCTCTAATTTTTTCCTATATGACAGCAAATGGAGTACTATTTGTCCAGGAATTAGTTACATAGAGCATTGTGCCAAGAATTCTATGCACAGAAAGAAGCGGTTCATCTATTCAAACAAGTCAAACATAGGACAAGGATTTTAAAGAAACAAGGTTAAATCCTCACATCTTCCATGGAATGCACCATGGTATGGTATAAAGAATACAACAAATCCTAGCTCTACTACTAGGATTGTGTGACACTATTATTAAAATATCTTATGTCTTAGTTTTCTCATCTGATGGCAACATCATGTTCCAGATTACCAGGGATCATGTAATACTTAAATACAAATAGAATGGAAAATGAATATTTAATAAAATGAAGTAGATACTCAAAAGATTGTTTGTTCCCTAACCATCCTTTCCTTTCTCTCATGTTACATATTCCCTGAGATGACAGATTATTTCAGAATTATATGAACTAATTTTTCTTCAACATGAAGGCCTAAAAAAAACTTCTACCTGGAAATGGATGCCTGGAAACTAACTCTTCTGGAAGTCCAAGTTCTCTGCCCAAAATTCTCACTTCATCTTTATGAAAATCTTTCAGAGGTTCTATTACTCTTCCCTAGGGAGGAAAGAAGCCAACCAATACAAATTAGTAACCAAGATGATACGGAAAACAAAGGGCAATCAATTACTGTGCTTTCCTTTTACCATTTTTCTTAGACTAACAGATTCTTATTTAAAAATGTATCTTTTAAAGTATTTGCTGCTATGTGCCTATAAGGAATTAGATGAATATTTTAGTGGTACCCTTATTTCTCTTCAAAGTACATTTTAAACATACATTTTTAAAATATAAATATATCAGGGTAAACCAACCTATCATCTCTGATCTAGTTTTCATTAGAATACAATTAGAAAATATACTAGTGTTTCAAAATTAAAATTCTCCAAATGTTATCATTGAGAAAATGAAGACAACTAACAGAACTAGAGAAAACATTTGTAAATCATATATCTGATAAAAGACTTGTAACCAGAATATATAAAGAACATTTACAACTCAATAGTAAAAAGATAAATAACTCAATTGAAAAATAAGCAAGGCTACTAGGTACTAGGCTTAATACTTGGGTGATGAAATAATCTGTGTAACAAATCCCCATGATACAAGTTTACCTATCTAACAAACCTACATATATATCCTTGAATTTAAAATAAAATTTTTTAGGCCAGGCACGGTGGCTCACGCCTGTAATCCCAGCACTTTGGGAGGCTGTGGCGGGCAGATCACCAGAGGTCAAAAGTTTGAGACCAGTCTGACCAATACGGAGAAACCACGTCTCTACTAAAAATACAAAATTACCTGGGTGTGGTGGCACATGCCTATATTCCCAGCTATTGAGGAGGCTGAGGCAGGAGAATCACTTAAACCTGGGAAGTGGAGGTTGCAGTGAGCCTAGACCCCACCACTGCACTCCAGCCTTGGCAACAAGAGCAAAATTCTGTCTCAAAATAATTAATTAGTTAATTAATAATAAAAGGTTTTTCTTAAAATGAGCAAAAGATATAAATAGACATTTCTCCACAATACATAAATGGCCAATAATCAAGCACATGAAAAGATACACAACATCATCAGCTATTAGGGAAATGCAAATCAAAACAACGAGACACATTACTTCATATCCATTAGGATGACTAAAATTTTTATTCACTTTTTTTTTTTTCTGGACAGAGTCTTGCTCTGTTGCTCAGGTGAAAGTGCAGTGGTGCAATCTCAGCTACTACAACTCTACTTCCTAGGTTCAAGGAATTCTCCTGCCTCAGCCTGTGGAGTAGCTGGGACTACCAGCATGCACCACCACACCTGACTAATTTTTATTTTTTACTAGAGATAGGGTTTCACCATGTTGGTCAGACTGGTCTTGAACTCCCGGCTTCAAGTAAGCCACCTGCCTTGGCCTCTCAAAGTGCTGGGATTAGAGGCATGAGCCACCGTGCTTGGCCAGATGACTAAAAAAAAAATTTGCTTTGAGATGGAGTTTCGCTCTTGTTGCCCAGGTGCAATCTCAGCTCACTGCAATCTCTGCCTCTCTGCAATCACTTGGGTTCAAGCGATTCTCCTGCCTCAGCTTCCCAAGTGGCTGGGATTACAGGCATGCACCACCATGCCTGGCTAATTTTGCATTTTTAGTAGAGACGGGGTTTCTCCATGTTGGTCAGGCTTGTCTCAAACTGATTTTTAAAAGTCAGATAACACACCCATCAAAAAAATAGAAAATAATTGTAAGCACTGGAAAAATTGGAGTCCTTATGTACTTTTGGTTGGATTGTAAAATGGTACAATTGCTATGGACAACAGGTTCCTCAAAAAATTAAAGAGAGAACTACCATATGATCCAGCAATTCCACTTCTGGGAGTATATGAAAAGATAAACAAAAATGGATAAGCAAAATATATATACATATAGTAGTACATTATTCAGTCTTTTTTTTTTGAGTTGTAGTTTCACTCTTTTTGCCCAGGCTGGAGTGCAATGGCCCAGTCTCGGCTCATTGCAACCTCTGCCCTGAGGGTTCAAGCAATTATCCTGCCTCAGCTTCCCAAGTAGCAAGGATTACAGATGCCTGCCACCACACCCAACTAATTTTTGTATTCTTAGTAGAAACGAGGTTTCACCATGTTGACCAGGCTGGTCTCAAACTCCTGACCTCAGGTGATCCACCCACCTCAGCCTCCCAAAGTGCTGGGATTATATAGGCATGAGCCATCTCACCTTGCAAAGTTAAATTAGCAAGTCACAAAAAGGCAATACTGTATGATTCCACCTATATGAGGTATTGAAAGTAGTGAAACATAGAAACAGAAAGCAGAATGGTGGTTGGGGGGGGGGGGGGTTGTTTTTTCTTTACACCTCCAGATGCTTAAAAGGGAGAGTTGTTTTTTAATGTTCTTTAGTAAGAGTTTGTTTTGCAAGATGAAAAGTTGTGAAGATCTGTTTTACAACAATGTGAATACACCTAACACTACTGAACTGTATACTTAAAAACAGTTAAGGCCAGGCACAGTAATCCCAGCACTTTAGGAGGCCAAGGCAGGCAGATCACCTGAGGTCAGGAGTTTGAGATCAGCCTGATAAACATGGTGAAATCCCAACTCTCCTAAAAATACAAAATTGATCAAGCCTGGTGGCACACGCCTATAATCCCAGTTCCTTGGGAGGCTGAGGGAGGAGAACTGCTTGAACCCAGGAGGCAGAGGTTGCAGTGAGCTGAGATCATATGACTACATTCCAGCCTGGGAAACAGAGTGAGACTTTGTTTAAAAAAAAAAAAAAAAAAAAAAAGGTTTAAGATGGTAAATTTTACATTATGTGTTTTTTACAATAAGAGATAACAAGTCTTGGTGAGGATGTGGAAAAATTGGAATCTCATATATTGCTAGTGAGAATGTAAAATTGTATCATCATTTTAAATAACAGTTTGGCAATTTATCAAAATGTTAAACCTTAAGATCTAGCAATTCTACTCCCAGGCATATACCAAAAAAATAAAAACACACATCCACAAAAACTTATAACTAATATTCATAGCAGCATTACTTATAACAGCCAAAAAGTGGAAATAACCCAAATTCCCATCAACTGATCAGTGGATAAATAAAATGTAGTATACCTATACGATGGAATATTATCTGGCAATAAAAAGGAATAAAGTTCTGATACATGCAGCAACGTGGATGAACTTTGAAAACATTAAGGTAAGTAAGTCGGTCATTAAATATCACATATTGTATGATTTCATTTATATAAAATGTCCAAAATAAGCAAATTTATAGAGACAGAAAATAAATTCATGCTTGGTGATTGCCTAGGGCTGGCAATAGAGGAGGAGAGGAGGAGCTGGGGAGTGGAAGCAGGATGACAATGACAACAAGTAGAATAAGAAGTGACTGCTAATGGGTATGAGGTTTTTTCCTAGGGAAATAAACATGTTCTAAAATTAGACACGGAGTTGCTATAGCTATGCAACTCCGTGAATATTAGAAAGGAGGAGGAGGGAAGAAATGTATCTACTTTATTAAAAAGTTATAAACTTTTACCTCTTCTCTCAACTTTCTGATGAGCTCTGTGTCATTGTGATGGGTTTTGATGAGTTCAGCTTTGCCACTTGCAACAAGGGATGCACTTTCAATTAGATCAGGCCGTAAAGTACCTTGGGCAAGAAAAACCTCCTCTGGTTTCAGGTTCATTTCTCCTATTACTTCACTGGCAATCTATAATCAACAGGAATAAAACAGCCTTGTAGGAGATAAAATTTTTTAAAGTAAAATTTTATACTTTCAGCTAAATTTGTTAGAGTACTTTAGAAATACTGACCAGAAAATAAAATCCACCAACTCCCAAAATAAACTCCTTTTGAATATATCCTTTAATGTGATTCAAAAAGGTATGTGAGGCTGGGTGTGGTGGCTCACACCTGTAATCCCAGCACTTTGGGAGGCCAAGGCAGGTGAGATTTTGAGATCACTTGAGGCCAGGAATTTGAGACCAGCCTGACCAACATGGTGAAACCCATCTACTAAAGATGCAAAATTAGCAGCTGGCATAGTGCTAATCTGGGAGGCTGAAGTAGGCAGATCACAAGGTCAGTAGTTAGAGACCAGCCTGAACAACATGGTAAAACCATGTCTCTTCCAAAATTACAAAAATTAGCCCAGTATGGGGGCACGCACCTGTAATTTCAGCTACTCAGGAGGCTGAGGCTGGAGAATCACTTGAACCCGGGAGCCAAAGGTTGCAGTGAGCCAAGATCATGCCACTGTACTGCAGCCTGGGCAACAGAGTGAGACTCCGTCTCAAAAAAAAAAAAAAAAATTAGCTGGGCAATGATGGTGCATGCCTGTAATCCCAGCTACTCGGGAGGTTTACACAGAATCGCTTGAACCTGGGAGATGAAGGCTGCAGTGAGCCAAGATCGCTCCATTTTACTCCAGCTGGGCGACAAAAGTGAAACTCCAACTCCAGAAAAAAAAGTATGTGAACATTCTATTCAAGAGCTTGAAATTAGCCATTGAAAGAACCCATGAATTGAAGTCTATGACCAGATGAAGATATCTATTCTTAAAGAGTTAGAATAACAGCCTGGCAAGGTAAGCATACATGTGTATTAAAACATAAAACAGTTTCTACTGGTCAATAAAATGACAATATACAGTAAAACTCCTAGCCACATAAGAAAAAAACCAAAACTAGTAAATTTGGTTATTTGATATAATGACAAAGAAAAACAAATAGTAAGACTCACATCAAAAACAGTACATGTTGAGGATATTAAAAACAAAGGTACCTTAACAAAAGTATCCCCAATGATTTTTCTTTTCTCTTCAGGACTTGTGGTCATATTTAACGTTTTGCTAATTCTTTTCCGTGGGGTTCTATCTTCATCTGATATTGGTAGGGTTGTTGTTCCATTGTAGAAAGAATGAGCAGCATTTATCACTGGAGGAAAGGGGAGACGTGTTTTAAATTGATAGAACTTTTTGAAATCAAAAATAACAAGTCAAACTACAGAAAGGAAAGCTATATGATTCCTTTGATCTCCCCTAAATTTGCCTACAAATTTTAATAAACTATCAATATTCAAGAACTATCAATAAATCCTGAGTAACAGAGTTCAGATACAGACACTCATTAAATTTTGTTTCTATGAGAATCTCCTGGCATTTACATCTAGGGCCATTACATCACAAATTATGCTGACTGGGGCCAAGCACGGCAGCTCACTCCTTTAATCCCAGCAATTTGGAAGGCCAAGATGGACGGATCACTTGAAGTCAGGAGTTCGAGACCAGCATGGCCAAAATGACAAAACCTCATCTCTACTAAAAACACAAAAATTAGCTGGGACTGGTGGCACATGTCTGTAATCCCAGCTACTCAGGAGGTAGAGGCAGGAGAATTGCTTGAACCTAGGAGGCAGAGGTTGCAGTGAGCTGAGATGGCGCCACTGCATTCCAGCCTGGGCAACAGAGCACAACTCTGTCTCAAAATAAATAAATAAATAAATAATGCCGATTGTTTTCTCTCTGTTCAGTGCTTCACCAGAGTAACAAGCAGAAACCACAGCAAGAAGCCTAACCCCAAGGGAGCCAAAAGCACTGGTTCCTAAGCAGAAAATCAAAGTCATCAGAATCACACACTAACTAGTGTCTTGTAAAACTGATATTTATGAACATATGTTTAAAAATCCTTGGCTGTTTTTTTTATTTAAGGACAGGAAACTAAAAACTGACTAAGATGTCTATTTGCTAATAAATCTAAGCTACTGATGGCCTTCACCGTAAGATGAACAGTCAGCTGGCTATTTCATTGTAGAACGGCCAGTGAATTTGTAGGTCTTTCCTGAACCTGGTCAACTACCCAGAGAAGACATACTCTTTCTCCTGCCTATTAGCATTCTAGCAGTTGAAAAGAGGATGTGGTAGGAAGAGGGAATCAATCACTATTCAGCAAACAGAATTTTACTTGATCCTGTTCATAATATAGAATCTTACCTCCACCCTCAACTATGCCTGGTATTAGTATGCTCAAATCCAGAACCTCTCGTGTAGCCCATCTAGAGAGAGAATACACCCACAGTGTTCTGACTGGGAAGAACAGCAGCAGTTTGCTCCTGTGCTAAGGAAAATGATCTGCTTCTCAGATTTTTAACTAATCCCTGTTTTAGGCTAACCCAGAGACCAATGCCCCTCCAAAAAACCAATGCTTCAAATTCCTAAGCCTCCCCAGAAGTCTGCAGCATAAATCAGCTTGCTTTTTGTTGGCTTCCTTCCCAACCTACCCCAAGGTTGTGAATTCCTCCATTCTGCTACGTCAGTTACCAGGGAACATACCCAAGTTTTACAATTTGAAGGACTTCTTCAAGAAACAGAATAACATGTAACATACTAAAAATTATAAGTTATACTGGGATGGCTAAAAAGTACTTAACTATATGCAGAAATGATTGCAAATCACATATATACCACTAAACCCATACTAAGCACATCCCCGGCTCATCTTTGTCTTAGCCTGATCTGAAAATGCCCACATTCATTCCAGCACCAGCTAACAGAGAACAAGTTAGACTTGAAAGAAAATAAACTACAAATCATCAAAATATCTTACTTGCAAATTTCACAAAAACATATGACCATGTGAAGATACCACTGGGCATCGTCCCAGGACATTGGGAGAGACCTCTCTAGTAACCCATGAAGCTTAAACCAGGAAAATCCACCTCTACCTATCTGCTATCCACCTTCCAACATTTTGTTGAATCACCTGTCTGTTATCATCTCCTCTATCCCTCATCCTTATGGCATTACCCTGTTTTATGCTTTTACTGTTATTTTAGAAAAGTTTCAAATAAATAGACTCATGTTCGCATCATGCTTACCTACAAGTCTTCATTATATTCAGCCTTTTGATATTGGTTCCAATTAATTCAATATGTACAATAATTTGTAACATTAAACAACTGACCTCATTTCATTATAACTATCAACTGCATCTTCTTTTTAAAAAGTATAAAAGTTATCTACAAATGTAAATGCTATTAAGGACTAAGAAGTTTACTAGGCCAGGTGTGGTGGCTCACACCTGTAATCCCAGCACTTTGGGCGGCTGAGGCGGGTGGATCATGAGGTCAGGAGTTTGAGACCAGCCTGACCAAAATGGTGAAACCCTGTTTCTATTAAAAAAAAAATAAATTTAATTAAAAAAAAAAAGTTTACTAAAAAAAGTAACTACAGAATCTTCACCTCCCCTACTACAATCTTTTCTATTTGCAAAATAATCTATATACCCATATCTGAGGAGGGCTTGGGTAGGCTCATGCCTAAATATCATGAAATAGGGTGGGAAAAGATTTTTTTTTGTGGGGGGGACAGGGTTTTGCTCTTGCTGCCCAGGCTGGAGTGCAGTGGTGTGATCTCGCCTCACTGCAACCTCTACCTCCCAGGTTCAAGCAATTCTCCTGCCTCAGCCTCCCGAGTAGCTGGGAATCACAGACATGCACCACCACACCCAGCTAATTTTTTGTATTTTTAGTAGAGACAGGGTTTTACCATGTTGGCCAGGCTGGTCTCAAACTCCTGACTTCAGGTGATCCACCCACCTCAATCTCCCAAAGTGCTGGGATTACTGGCATAAGCCACCACGCACGGCCAGGAAAATATAATTTTTAAAGTATATAACTAGAAGAACTGAATAATAGCTGGAAAACGTTAATTTATCAATCTATTTATAAAATTAGCAGAATCAGTGGTTTAAAAATGTATACCAAAACCCCTCTTAAACCAGAGGTAATTGTAAAAAACGTTTTCAACCTTGAGCATACTGAAAAAACTATAATTGTGCTCATTTAAACAATGAAACTAGTTTTGATTAAACAAGTCCTGACATGTAAGTTTAACTTTTCTGGAGTTCTTCAATACCTTTGACCTGAATTCCAAGCTTTTTGAGGGCCTCTTCAACAGATTGGCTTTCTCGTTTTCTCATAAAGCCATTATCAATGTGTACAGCAATGACTTGATCTTGGTTCAAAGCACGATTTAGCAAAGCTGTACAAACTGTTGAGTCTACTCCACCACTGAGTAAAACCTACGGTAAAATGAAAAATAAAACTGAGCAGGACAAGCAAAAAGAAAATAAACATTATCAGCATAAATCATTACCTAGAAGTGCTATTTATATCAAAGGTATGTATGGGAACTGAAAATGCACTCTAAAACTGTAGAACTTAACTTAAGGGCTGTGTTGAGGACTCTAGTTCCTGGATTCCAACATTATTGATATAAATGTATAGACTTTTAGATGATAAATTGCTTACCAAAACTTTTGATGTGCCTACTCTCTCTTTGATCTCTCGAATGCACTCAAGTTCTCTGTTCTGCACGGTGTAGGTTCCAGTGCACCCAGCTATATCATAAAGGAAATTCTTCAGTATTACTTTTCCATTTTCTGTAAGGCCAACTTCAGGGTGGAACTGTGCTCCATATAATTTTTTAGATTCATTTGCTATGCCTTTATAGAGAAAACAGTCACAAATTAAAATTTTTTCATGCTGAAAAGACGCAAGCAATACCCACAATTTCTCACAATCTCTTCCTCTAAGGCCTAATTTTCTTATTTTATTTATTTTTGAGACAGAGTTTTGCTCTGTCACCCAGGCTGGAGTATAGAAGCATGATTTCGGTTCACTGCAACCTCTGCCTCCTGGGTTCAAGCAATTCTTATGCCTCAGGCTCCCATGTAGTTGGCATTACAGGCGTGTGCCACCACGCCCAGCTAATTTTTTATATTTTTTAGTAGAGGTGGGGTTGCACTATGTTGGCCAGGTGGTCTTGAACTCCTGGCTTCAAGAGATCCACCTGCCTCAGCCTCCCAAATTGCTGGGATTACAGGCATGAGCCCACTGCTCACAGCCAATTTTATTTATTATTATTTTTTTTGAGAGAGGGTAATCATTGCTCTGTTGCCCAGGCTGGAGTGCAGTAATATAATCATAGCACACTGTAGTCTCATCATCCTGGGCTCAAGCGATCCTTCCACCTCAGCCTCCTGAGTAGCTGGAACAACAGGTGCACGCCACCACACTCAGTTTTTAAATATTTTGCAGAAATGGGGTTTTATCCTGCTGTCTACTGATCTACCAGGTTCAAGTAATCCTCCTGCCTTGGTCTCCCAAAGTGCTGGGATTATGGGCGTGAGGATATGTCTCTGTGGATTTTTAGCTATAGGAAAAGGAAATACATAATAAAAACAAAAACTTCATTGCTATAACCTTTCTTTATAAAGGTCTTTCTTGATACAGCAATTAATGAGCTATAGGACAGTACATTAAGTCCCACACAGAGATTATTTCACAGTATTCTCACTTCTCCACCCAAGTTAGTTCCATTGTCTTGTCTACCTAGTGCAATGATAATTCAATTTTGGTTCTCAGTTGCTCATGGCTTTCAAATGCATTGTAGAGCTACCAAGTTCTTATATTAAAAGAATCTCACATATCAGACTTGTGAGAACATACTGTTTCTTTCTTGACTACTATTAACCACAAATATAACTTCACCTACTTGAGTCATGTGTTTCTGGCAAATATTACCTACGAGGCAATAGATATTAGGCTAGATGGTTTAAAAGTGCATGTGTTACCCCTATTTTATGGCTCTCAGATATCAAGAAACTTGTATGAACTCTCAGCTAATTAAGTAACTAAATCAGGCCTGACAGGATCCCAAACTCATACTCATTCTACTGTACCACAGTACTTCACACTTTCTTTATTTGGCTCTCAGAATACCACTCTCTTGGTTCACTTATTTTACTGTCTGTTCCTTCTGAATCTCCTTTGCTGGCTCCTCTTCATCTTGCCTATCTCTACACATGGAAGTTGCTCAATACTCAGCCCCTAAATCTCTTTTCTATACATTCTGAGTGATCTTATACTTTCATGACCTTAAAATTCTGTCTGTATCCTGATAAACCCTCAAATTTATATCTCAGCCCAGTTTTCTTCTCTAAAGTCCAGGCTCATATATACAACTGCCTACTCAGCACCTTTGTTTTGATGTTTAATAAAGCATCTTGAATTTTAACTTGGGAGTTAAAACCTGATTCTACTTTTTTCCCCCACCCCATATTCAATCTAACAGCAAATCATTTGTCCCTCCCTTCAAAACACAGTGGAATACAATCACTCCTAACAACGTCCACCCTAGTCCTGACAACTTCCACCTCTGCTACCCTGGTCCTAAAAACTTCCTCTTCTACTGTTGTAGAAAAAAACTGGGTTCTTGTCACATGACCAAGAAAAGTTAGGCACGCAGACACTTTGAAGGGTGAGGGGAAATGGAATTTATTGGACAAAAGGGAAAAAAAACTCTCAGCATAGTGAGAAGGCTTCCTGTTAACAGGCCCCTATCTCACAGATTGAATCCGAAGTCACTACCCAGGAACAGCAAATGCCAGGCCCTCCTGCAAAGGGTAAGAACTTCCTGTGGCTCCACCCTATTCTCCCAGTAGGAAGGCTGGTAGGAAATTCTCTAGGGACCCTCCCCTTTATCTTCCTCCTGCGTTCTGATCCTGAAAACTATTCTGATCCTGAAAACATTGTCTCTCTCCTGATTAGTACAGTAAACTCCTAGCTCGTCTTCTTGCTTCTCTTTCACCTTGTATCTTTACTCCTCATCACAGCCTAGTCCTGAAATTAGATCATATCTCTCCTCATTTAAAACCCCACCTTACTATGAGTAAAGACAAAGTACTGCAGTGGTCCAAAGGTCCTGTGTTCTGACATCCAACTACCTCTCTAACTTCACCTTCTATCACTCTCCCCACCATGCTTATTCTGCTCCATCCATGTGGATTCCCTGCTGCTCCTCAAATACGCGTCCCCACCCAGGATCTCTATACTGCTATTTCCTCTTTCCTCAAATATCCAGAAAGGTTAGCACTTATTTTCTTCAGGTCCAATGTCATCTTACAGGAGTGCCTTCCCTGAGTAGCTTATAAAATTGTAACAAGCCAATCATCCATATTCCAGAATACCCTCTTCCCTCTTATTTTTTCAATGTAAACTATCTGACTCTGACATAGTCTATATTTCTTTATTATTTACTTTCCCCTTTCCCCAATGTTAAACAGGATTTTTTGCTATACTGGTTTTGTGTTTTGTTCTTTTTAGGAGAGAGGGTCTTGCTTTGTTGCCCAGGATGGAATGTAGTGGCACTACCATGGCTCACTGCAGCCGTGATCTCTTGGGCTCAAATGATTCTCCCACCTCAGCCTCCTGAGTAGCTAGGACTGCAACTGTGTACCACCACACCTAATTATTATTTTTTTAATGTAGAGATGGGGTCTCACTACGTTGCCCAGGCTAGTTTCAAACTCCTGGCCTAAAGCTGTCCACCTTCTTCAGCCTCCCAAAGTGCTGGAGTTATAGGTGAGAGCCACTGCACCTGGCCTATTTTGTTCATTACTCCATTCTTGGCACCTAGAACTGTGCATGACGCATAACAGGTACTCAAATGTTTGTTGGATAAATAAAAATACACAAGCCCATCTACCACTGTTGATCTTTTTTTTATGGTGTAAAAACATTTTAGTATAAAAACCATTCTTAAGCATCCCTATGCTAATGTAATAGCATACATTATGTTCTAATGTCTGTTAAGAAACTACAAGCAGATTACTAAATTCAACTTATCCATGACAAATCTTTTTTTCAACTTATTATTTAGGTGTACTGATAAACCCACCTTTTTCTTTTACTGACTTCCAGTACTATTAGTGATTATTTACATTATTCAGGTAAGTAAGTAAAAACCCCAAACCACCAGAAAGTCAATTCCCTTTCCTCAAAAAAGTAGACAACAAAATGGTTAACAGCATGGGTCAGCAAACTTTCTGCAAAGGACTAGACAGTAAATAGTTTAGGCTCTGTAGAACATACACAGTCCTTGTATTTTATTATAACCCTTTAATAATGCAAAAATCATTCTCAGCTCCTGGACATTTAAAAAAAGGCAAGAGACTAGATCTGACCCACTGGTGAAAGTATGCCAGCCCTGGTTCAGGGAAATTTGCGCTGAGTACTTACTCGGGTGCTATGGTGATGTGTTTCTAAGAAAGGAATAAAAGACAAGTAACTCTGAATATAGCATAGTAGGAAGACAAGAGTCCCCAAATTCTTCATGAGTTATAAAGTGTAAGGTCTTTTAGGCTGAACTGACAGTGCCATGGACTGCATGATAACCTCTGTGACCTGCACATGTATTCCAGATGAGTTCCTAGAACTAGGAAGTGTGAAGTAACTAGAAAACCACAAAAGGAGAAGAAATGACCAACCCCTGCAGTGCCTAATTAACTTTGAGACATTCTTCTGTTGTTCCATATTCCCGCCTCAACTGGTACTGGACTTTGTAACCGACCTTGGTCAACTTCATGATTCCAGATCCTCTGACCCTTCTCCCAGCTCACAAAAACTGCCCTGAACTGTAACTTCTGTATCTTTCCACTGCCTACCCCAAACCTACAAAACCAACTCCTATCCCACCGCCTTCCGCTGACTCTCTTTTCGGACTCAGCCCACCCGTACCCAGGTGAATAAATAGCCATGCTGCTCACCCAAAGCCTGTTTAGGGGGTCTCTTCCTTCAGAGCACGTGTTTAACAAAAAGTATAGTGTTTTATGTTTGAAAAGCTTATACTGAATGAACATTTTTAAAAGTATTTCAAACCAAATGAACAAACCAGTAAGTGAGAGACTTCTGGCTAATCTTATTATTGAATTCCCTTCATAACAGTTAATCCTACATTCATATTATCTTTTAAAAAAAAGAGAAGAAAAATCAGAAAAAAAAGGAAAATCAAAGAATATTTCATACAGCAACATATGCTTACTCTTCAGATAAAGTTTTTACAATGAACTCTGCAACATTTTTAGAATTTTCACCTGCTACTATGTTTCCAGAACGTGCCACAACCTTGAATCCATCAGCTACTTTGTCTACACTATCTCCATGTGTGAGCAAAACAATTTCTTCCTTCTGAAGGCCCCTAAATGCATAAAAAATAAAACACACAAATATCTTAATTAAAAACATGATTCATTGGTTTTAGAAATACAAGCTTGCCACACGTGATTTAAAAAAAATAGAAGAAAGTGTGTGACAATGGAACACTGCTAGAATTCAAATATTACATCCATTACAAATAAAGACAATAAAAAAACATTAAACCTTAAAAAAGGCAATCCATAAAAACTGGAAAGAAACTAGAACAAATAAATATATGAGGTTGGTATTATAACCAGACACACAAGGAATAACTTTTAAGAGATTATAGAACAATAACTCCAAATTATATAACTGTTGAGATTTATGTTAAGAACAGAGATATTTCAAAGACTACACTTTATTCGGTGGTTTTATGTAAGTAGTAATAGGACTAGTATTGAAACTGTTATCCTGAAACTGTAAGTACAGTAGAGATATAGGCATATTGTAGGTTAAAACATATAATTAGTGATCAACATTTTCAGCTTAAGAGTTAGAAAATACAAAACCTGAGGCGTTAGGTAAAAACCCTATTATCTTTCATTTTAACTGGAAATTTAAGTATACACTAATAATTTTGTTTTCTAATTCTAACAAGCTAGGTACTGCCCAATTTTGTTATCTGGGAAGTGCTAAAAACAATTACAACCCAGTACCAATGTGGACTTCCGGTGCCAAACAAATTAACGATACTTAGTTAAGAAAGCGTTACTTAAGAAAGTTAAGTAACGTTAATCAAATGTAATGTGTAGACTTTCTCTGGACCCTGATTCAAACAAATCAACCATAAAAATATACTGTTTACGATATTAAATAATATTAAGGAATGGCCAGGAGCAGTGGCTCACACCTATAATCCCAGCACTTTGGGAGACTAAGGCAGGCAGATCCCCTGAGGTTGGGAGTTCAAGACCAGCCTGGTCAATATGGTGAAACCTCGCCTCCACTAAAAATACAAAAAATTCTGCTTGTAATCCCAGCTACTCAGAAGACTGAGGAAGGAAAAATTACTTGAACCTGAGAGGCAGAGGTTGCAGTGAGCCAAGATTGTGCCACTGCACTCCAGCCTGAGCACCACAGAATGAGACTCTGTCTCAAAAATAAAATAAAATTTAAAAATAAATAATATTAAGGAATAAAAATGTAAATCAAAAATAAAGCAAGAAGATAATGCCAAAAAGATATTTTGGGATGTGTTGTTGTCATCATTGTTGTTTAGGAATAGTATAGGTTGTGATAGAGTCCCAGAATTTTAGAAAACTAGAAAGACAGACAAAAAAATATCAAATCTTAACCTCAGATTTAAAGCTCCTAATATATCACATGTAAGATTCCTGAAATTGTTGTCAAGTTTAGTCACGTGAAATTAGGATGAATTTAAGTGTCAACACCTCTCCATTATGAAGCTGAACAAACACTAGATTTCAAACTCATTTTGACAATGCATACTTCAGTTTAAAAAATTATTTTGAAGGCTGGGAATGGTGGCTCACGCCTGCAATCCCAGCACTTGGGGAGGCCAAGGCGGGCGGATCACAAGGTCAAGAGATCAAGACCATCCTGGCCAACATAGTGAAACCCCGTCTCTACTAAAATATAAAAATTAGCTGGGCGTGTTGGCGCACGTCTGTAGTCCCAGCTACTTGGGAGGCTGAGTCAGGAGAATTGCTTGAACCCGGGAGGTGGAGGCTGCAGTGAGTCAAGATAGCGCCACTGCACTCCAGCCTGGCGCCTGGCGACAGAGCGAGACTCTGTCCCCCCGCAAAAAAATTTATTTTGAGCAACGTTGGCTTTTTAATTATTCTTCCTTTGAAAAATAACAAACTTTGGGCCAGGTGCAGTGGCTCTTGCCTATAATCCCAGCACTTGGGAGGCCAAGGAGGGCAGATCACAAGGTCAGGAGATAGAGACCATCCTGGCCAACATGGTGAAACCCCATCTCTACTAAAAATACAAAGGGCGTGGTGACAGTGCCTGTAACCTCAGCGACTTGGGAGGCTGAGACAGGAGAATCACTTCAACCCAGGAGGCAGAGGTTGCAGTCAGCCAAGATCGTGCCACTGCACTCCAGCCTGGGCAACAGAGCAAGACTCAGTCTCAAAAAAAAAAAAAAATCTTTAAAAACAGATCAAAAAGTTAAAAGGGAAAGCACGAATGTTGGTATCACAATATATACAATTCCAAATAGGGTTCCATGACTGCACAGGCATTTTCGAATTTCTTAAATGCCTTCCTTATTCCCTATTAGCATCATCACCATCCCATGTTGTCTTGACACTCAACTGGAAGGCAAATATGACAATTACACTTGTGGTCACTACTACAGCCTTAATTTTGTTTATGACTATGGAATCTCCAATTGTGAAAAATAACAGTATCAACTCTAAATTAATTACTACTGTTTTTATTCATCAAAAATATAATACCTGAATAATGAACATGTATTATCCACACTAATGTTGAAGACTCCATCTTCTCTAACACTTTTTTTGTGGACAGTTCCTCCAAATACCTTGTTCATCATCTGTTCAAAGAAAAAAATTAATGTTAATAGAATCAAAAGATAAATATTCATTTTGTTATACTGATTGAATAATTTATATTCTTTGTTTTCAGGATGTCTGATATAGCTGCATCCCCAAAATAAAAGGAGTTTAATAAATGTAGATTATTTGGTATTGTTATATATAATTAATTATACAATTATTAACAGGCATTGTTATAAAACAAAATTGGATTCGAAATTTGACCTGGGGTTAATTTCTGTTAAACACTGGTAGATTTTCCACTTAGTGTACTTTAATTCATCTGCTTAAAAATAAGAGATTTCTTAATTACTTACATCTGAGTTTGATTTAAAAGCAGTTCATAAGATATTATGAGTTTAGAAAAAGTTACAGCAGACAACAAGAACCTTGTACCAGAACAAGAGTTAGATAGATATAAATTCCTCCAAGCTCTGTAATCTTTGGCTCCAAAGGAATAGTCCGAAAGCCTGCTGAAGGCTACGCTGTAGAGATGGGTAAGCAAGAAAATCTGGCCTTTCAATTAAGCTCATCTGTTCAAGTCAGATACACTTAACAGACTCTGATTTCAAATGATCTCTTCAATTTGGCATCTCCTCTGTTAATAAATTGTCTTTTCTTATTTATCATTTACATGTCCCAAACTTCCCACATCAGATAAATAGACACAAGATTTCTTCAAACATTAAATCTGCAGTGATATAAACACTCCTACTCATAGTAGTGCATCTGTTCCACAACAGGTATCAGACGATACCTGCCTTAACAATACATGATGCAGGTTGAGCCAGCCCCTGACAGATAATAAGATAGATGACTTAAATAAATGCTGATTCTCATAACTCAAGAGTAGCATATTCTTCAAAACCATTAGCAAATGGTGCCCTCTACATTCTCCTTTTAGGCATTCACAATAAACTGTCCCACAATAAAGGTTTGAGTTCAGTCCAGCAGTAAAGACATCTGCTAGTATTTGTTTAATACAGTGTTTATCAAACTAAAGACTCAGAAAAAAACTTTTTTCCGTAGCACACTAACATGCAATTTAAGAAACGCCACTACAGTCTAATCAGCTCCCTTGACTCTAGTCTTGCCCATCTTCCAGGAATATTCTAGAGATCTACTAATGTTAGCTACTACAATATAAAGATGATTGTGTTAGTCTATGATTAAATTCTTCATTAGCCCTCTAGCATTTACAGCAAGGGTTGGTAAACTCTCTGTAAAGGGCCAGAGAATAAATATTAGCTTTCCAGGCCATACTGTGTCTGTAGCAACTATTCAGTTCTTGCCTGTGTAGCTCAAAAGCATCCATACACAATACTTATAAAGAAATGAGTGTAATTATTCCAATAAAACCTTATTTATGGACACAGATTTGAATTTTCACATATCATAAAATATATATATTTTTCAATTTCCCAATCATTTAACAATGTAAAAATCATTCTTTGCTTGCACGTCATGAAAAAACAGGCAGTAGGTCAGATTTAGACTATAGGCCATAGTTTACTGATACCTAGTCTACAGGATAAAGTCCAAGTCCCTTATATTAAATACGAGACATCATTACTTGGCCCTTGTCTAATTTTTTCACCTTCAGTTTCTACTCCAGTCCATTTAAACTAGTGTGATTATCAAAACAGACCACGTTCTCTCCTCCATCTCTTCAGGTCTCTTCACAGCCCAAGGGCCCTAGCAATGGGGCCAGTATGGATTCCAGATAAACCCCAAGGTTCTTACTGCCTCAAAGAAACCCATATAGTACTCCAGGTCTACTACCCAATCAGATCAGCTCCACTTATCTTTCTTATATGTCAAGGTTTTATAAATTTTAGATTGGGAAGGGAGAAAGGGTTAGGAACTTCTGCCTATTAAAAATAATTTGAAAAAATCTTGTGGGAGTATATAAAGAAGCCAAGTGAAACCATAAAGAGTGAAGAGAAGAGCCATAATCCAGAAGGTATCTGCAATATATACAGTTGGTAAAGGTTTAGAATCCTGGATATATAAAGGCTCCCACAAAACAGTAACAAAGACAATTCAATATAAAAATGAACAAGTATCTACAGTAAGGCAGATACAAATGGGAAATAAAGAGCTGAATCTTACAATAACAAGAAAAATTAACACTACAATGTGACCCCCATTTAATACCCTTCTAGATATGAAAATATAAAAAAAAAGATCTGATTAAGTCAAGGGTTGTCAGGGATATAGAAAATTTTGCATATGTATAACACCAGAAAACAAGTAACAAGAATATTAATGGCAATATTGTCTATAATAGAAAAAAGCTAGAAAACCAACATTATGAACACTGGAATGCAAAAGTAACATGATATATTCAAACAAATTCAACAGTAAAAATAATAACAAAGTTGAAAATAATACAAGTAGTATGACTTCACTTATATATAGTTCAATAGGCAAAACAAATACATTATTTAGGAATATAAACATATGTATAAAGCTATTTTTAAAAAGGGAATGAGTAACAAAATTCAGGGAAGTTGGTCAGCTGTAATAGGAAGAGAAGAATGTGAATGGAACGTATAAAGGAACTTTCAAAAGCTCTACAATATTCTATTTTATATGCTTGGGGGTGTAAATCAGTAAGAGATACAAAGGGAGCAGTATAGACATATTTCTTCTAAAGCAAAGAATCACCAGGAAGCAATTAGAAAGACTGTCAGGAGAGTCCAGTTAATAGGAAAAGACAGTATATAAGACACTGAATAGCTCAAATTTCAGAATGTCATGGGGGGCAAAGGTACACACTTAGGTCCCAAAATTACCCAACATAGTCAATAAGTGGCAGTCCTTTACAGACAACATATTAGCTAGATGGCATCATCTAGATCATTATTTTATGAAAGGATAATTCCTGCCCAAATAACCAAGATCGGCATATTCCATAATATTACTACAAAAGTTCAGATGATAATAAAGGCAAAAATTTTTATGCATTTAACATCAGCAGGCCTGACTTTGGTAATACGATATCCTATTGAATGACAGAACAAGTTAGCCTTACAATTATATGAGAAACTGACATAATGGGGAAACACTAAGTCACTATCTCTTAATTAAGGAAGCATTTTTCAGGTGTATTTCACTGTAAGTAGGCCTTAAAAATATACCTTGTGAGACTCTTCCTTAGAAAATGTTGCAATGCCTCTCAATACACTAACAACCATTTAATTTAATTATAAGTTGTGCTACATGATTGACTACTCTGACGAAGAAAATCCAATAAATTATATAAATATATTACATCCTGGGACAAAAAAAAAGAAGCCAGCCAACTTCCAATATTCAACTCAATCAGGATGCAGGCTCCTCTAAGACTCCTAGATAGAAAAATCTTTCTTTTTTCCAAGTCATATTCATAATTAAACACTTTTCAAAGAACACTGAAAGGGAAAAAAGAGGCTTTTACTATAAAATGCAAAATGGTACACCCACTTTCTGGCAGTTTCTTACAAAAAAAAGGGTAGGGGGTGGGGGAAAAAAAAATTAAACATACTGCATATAATTTAGTAATTGCTCTCTTTAGAATTTACTGAAAAGGTTGAAAACTTAAGTCCACACAAAAACCTGTGCATGGATGTTCACCGCAGCTTTATTCATAATTGCCAAAACTTGGAAGTAATCAAGAAGTTAGTAGATGAGTAAACTGTTAGTGAGTGAAGGAACTGTGATACACCCATACAATGAAATATTATTCAGTGCTAAAAAGAAATGAGCTACCCAGCCTGAAAAGACATGGAAGAACTTTAAATATACATTATTAAGTGAAAGAAGCCAATCTGGAAAGGCTACGTACTGTGATTCCAACTATATGACATTTGGAAAAAGGCAAAACTATAAAGAACATAAAGAGAGATCAGTGGTTGCCAGGATTTGGGGGATGAATAGGTAAAGCACAAAGGATTGGGCAATGAAAATATTATATATAATACTATGACGGTAGATATATATCATTATACATTTGTCCAAAACAACAGAATGCACAAAAATCAAGAATGAACCCTAATGTAAACTAGGGACTTTGGGAATAATGATGTGTTGATGTAGGTTACATGATGTATCACTCTGGTGTGAGATGTTGGTAATAAGAGAAGCTATGCATGTGTAGGGGTTGGAGGTATCTGAGATATCTCTGTACCTTCTCCTTAATTTTGCTGTGAACCTAAAACTGCTCTAAAAACTTAATTAAAAAAATAAATAAAAAGTAAAAAAAAGAAAAAATCAAAAAAGGTATCAAGGTAACCAAAATCGATTTCTAAACATTGACTCATAGAAGAGTATCTTATCTCAAGATCTCAGTAAGTCCCTACTTATTCTTACTTTTTTTTTTTGAAACGAAGTTTAGCTCTTGTTGTTCAGGCTGGACTACAATGACATGATCTCAGCTCACTGTAACCTCCACCTCCCAGGTTCAAGCAATTCTCCTGCCTCAATCTCTCAAGTAGCTGGGATTACAGGCATCCGCCACCACATCCCGCTAATTTTTGTATTTTTAATACAGATGGGGTTTCACCATGTTGGCCAGGCTGATTTCAAACTCCTGACCTGAGGTGAACCACATGCCTTAGTCTCCCAAAGTGCTAGGATTACAGGCATGAGCCCCCGCACCTGGCCTATTTTTTGTATTTTTAGTAGAGACGGGATTTCACTCTGTTGGCCAGGCTGGTTTTGAACTCCAGACCTCGTGATCTGCCCGCCTTGTTTCTGTTACAGTGGAGTCAGCTGACAGATATCATCTTAACCAAATAATCCAAGTTAACATCACCCGTCATGCCACAAATCCACACAAGGTGCCTCCTGAAAAGATGTTTTAAGAAGCACAGCACCACTTCGACACTCTTGCCAAAAGTTCATAACCTGAATCCAACAATGAGGAAACATCACAGAAACCAAAGTTGAGAAATGTTCTACAAAATAACTAACATACTTTTTATAAATACTCTCAAGGTCATGAAAGAGAAGGAAACACTGAGGAACTGTTCCGGACTGAAAAGTCTAAAGAAACAACAACTAAATACAACACATAGTTCTGACTGATCTGTGGCTTCTAAGGGATATTAATCAGACAAATTGAAACGTGAAAGAGTCTGTAGATTTGATGCTAACAATGAGTCAATGTTAACTTTTCTGTTCTGGATAGTCATACTGTGGTTATGGAGGAAGAGTATCCTAATACTTAGGAAATAAGAGCAATAGGGCATCACGTCTGCAACTTTCAAATGGTTCAAAAATGTCAACAATTGGAGAATTGGATAAAGATACACAGGAGCTTTGTGTACAATTTCTGAAAATTTTATGATTATTTGCACATCCAAGGATTTTTTTTAATGGATACTGTTCTCTTATAGGAAGTAGTGTGCTTACTATTCTGAAAATAGATTCCCTATCAAGCCAGTTCTGCCATGCTAGTGTGGCAATTCACACAGTTGTAATATGCACAAGTTATCTCATCCAACTAAGTATCCTAAACATCCTAAAAAGAAAAAATACTAATACAGTCTGAGTCACAAACAGAACAAAATCTAAGTAAGCTTTCAAATCAAATTTGCGGACATACCTGCATGCCATAGCAAATTCCAAGAACAGGTTTGCCAATAGTGAATATTGCTGGATCAAACCAGGGAGCATCTTCAGCATATACAGAATTAGGTCCTCCAGAGATGATGATAGCACTGTGATTTAAGGAACAATCAGTGAAGAGTCTCTTTTAATTTTTATCCAAGGTCTATGCCCTCTCTCCTTTGTACAACACAGATCCAGAAATATTGTTTTTCGTAGAATGTAGCAAATTCCAATTCTATCATAGGTAATTATCATCCTACATGGTTTAATTATTTTTACTGTACTTTACTGCAATGTTTAGAAGTCTATCAATTCAGCATTTACTTGTTAATAAACACAAACTTACAAATAGATAATACCAATGTTTCTATATGTGAAACTTAGTATGAATTTGTTTTACTTGTTTCCTCATCAATAAAGAAGTACATAAGAATTATGGGGATGTTGAAAATACAGGTCTTCTCAGAGCCTAGGAGTAAAGCAGGCCAGAGAAGAACAACTGAAGGCATTATGAAGGCTCTGGATGGCTCAGAGAAAAATACAACCAAAGATGGCAGAATAGAAAGTATAAATTACCTAACTTTACCTGTTTATAGCATCCATTGTCCCCAACAATTTTCCCCGAGCCCAGGAAAGCGAGCTAATAACAATTCTGCCCCATATGCCCTGCTCTCAGAAGTTAGGCCAGTAGTATAATTTAGCTACCTGACAATTTGCAGAGCACGGGCTAACTTGAGGGTCAAACTAGTATTATAAAAGAAAACTGCAAACTGATGGCTATGTTCCTCTCCTGGCTACTAATACATCTAAACTGGTCGTCAGTATTCACTCAAAACATTTAAAACATTTTAATATCAGGAATTTCACAAAAATTTGGATTTCTGGATTTTCTTTAGGAAACAGAAAGCTGGAAACATTGGACCTTCACTCCTGCATAACTACAACCAACTGGAATCACAAATAGGCTTGCACCTTCAAGCTGTGCATGCTCTCCAGTTTGCCACACATGCCCATGCGTATAATAAAGGTATACTTTGGCCCTTTACTCAATTTAAGGTACTCTCAAACTCATTTTGAATTTGCAGATAAATCTGATTTAACTGTATTTCACAGAAAAAGGCATTGTAAGAGCTAATCAAAATTTATTTAAACTTTGGATTACAATATACTTTTTAATTAGTGGTTGCTGTCATATAAAATATACACGGTATATTAGACTTACATCCAGAAGAATAATATAACTAGAGTGAAATGTATTAAAAAAAAAAAAAAGTCTCAGCAAGGCTGGGCATAGAGACTCACATCTGTAATTACAGCACTTTGGGAGACAGAGGCAGGTGCATAGCTTGAGCCCAAGAACTTGAGACCAGCCTGGGCAATATGGCAAAACCCCATGTCTACAAAAAATTGTTAAAAATAAACAACAACAAAGCACTTCCCTTTAGAGTGTAAAGAAAAAAGAAAAAAAAAAAGTTGAGAAGAAAAAAAAATAGCCAGCAAGCTAGGTCTTTTTGTTAAAAAAAAAAAAAAAAAAAAAAAAAATAGCCATTTCAGTAAGCTCAAAAGCACTTTTTGAACTTTGTATGGGCAACCTGAGATGTGGTAAACATTTGCTAGCATATGTCCTATAAAAGAGAGATGGAAGACAACCTACTCAGATGATAAATATAAGGTTTTTAAGATAAAAATTCTAAAGGGGGGTAGGGTTACCCCTAAAGGTAGATCAATAACCTAACTCCTTAAAAATACAGAAGCTAAAATTCCATAGAACATACTTAATAATCAAGATCTCTAGACTCTATTATACTTAGTTTTATAAAGGATAACCACAATGGGACTGCCCAGTACCCAGAACTCAAAGATGTAAGATTCTTAGTGCTATTAAAATTTTCAAAAAGCCATGGACTTAGTTAAGTATAAAATTCAAGCAGTACCTAAACCAATTATGAAAATATGAAAAGTCTTATCTCAACAAATCTTTAAGAGCTAATCACGCATTGAGTCTTCCATTTCTACCCTGCTATTTTGAAACTAACCTGCAATTACAAGGCCCAATAAGCCAGAATTCATTACAAATAACAATTTTATGTATCAGACAGATCAAGATTCTAAAAATACATGGGCTACATGGGGTGGCTAACTCCTATAATCCCAGCACTTTGAGAGGCTGAGGCAGGCAGATTACCTGAGGTCAGGAGTTTGAGACCAGCCTGGCCAACATGGTGAAACCCCGTTTCTATTAAAAATACAAATATTAGCCAGGCATAGTGGGGCACGCCTGTTAATTCCAGCTACTCAGGAGGCTGAGGCAGGAAAATCACTTGAACCTGGAAGGCAGAGGTTGCAGCGAGCTGAGATCACGCCACTGCAATCCAGCCTGAATGAGAGTGAGACTCCATCTCAAGAAAAAAAATAATAAAAATAAACGTAGGTAGCTTAAGATGTCTGTCATGTCGCAAAATGTTCTATAAAAGGGGTGGTCAAACACATAATTCTACAGTAAGGATTATAGTAATAAAAATCACAGTGGTATAGTTCCTATTCCCCTGCTACATAAGAGAAGTTCTAGGTACAAGCTGAACCTAGACACTGTTTATGATCAAGTGACATGAAACACCATTAGATTTCTCTTGCCAAGTATTCTAGTATTTAGTTGATGTCAGATTGCTGGGAATTTTTTGTTTGTTTTGGGTGAGAGGAATGATGGAGCTTTGGTATGACAGAAAGCTATTCAGATTTCTCACAGTTTTTTTGATCCCTCTAAAAAACTAATTCTCGGCCAGGTGCAATAACTCACGCCTGTAATCCCAGCACTTTGAGAAGCTGAGGGGGACGCAGATCAGGAGGTCAAGAGATCAAAACCATCCTGGCCAACACGGTGAAACCTCATCTCTACTAAAAATTAGCTGGGTGTGGTAGTGGACACCTGTATTCCCAGCTACTCAGGAGGCTGAGGCAGAATTACTTGAACCCAGGAGGCAGAGGTTACAGTGAGCCAAGATCATGCCACTGCACTCCAGCCTAGCAACAGAGCGATATTCTTTCTCAAAAAGTAAAAACAAAATTAGTTCTTGCTGATAAATAAAGTCAGCTGAATTAGATAAACTCACGGGTCTCCTTATTACTCTAAAATTCCACAGTTTAAAAAAAGAGAGTCATTTTTTTATCTGTATCCTTAGAACAGAGTTAAATTTAAACCTGCCTTTTCTGATTTCTAATTCACTCTACTTCAGAACCAAGAAATCACAGGATAAAATGCACACATCTGTGAAGTATTTAAAAGTTCTTTTAACCAATTTGACACTGGAAAGACAATTTTTTATGAAAAAAAATCTAAATTTTGGAAGAATCATAGTACATCTAATATTAAAGTTTAAGAGACAATTAAGGACATAAACTGCAGTTGCTTGCTTCTACATAAGTCTAACTTAAAAAACAACAACAAACATTAAAAAGCATGACATTGGCTGGGCGAGGTAGCTCACACCAGTAATTCCATCACTTTGGGAGACCCAGGCAGGCAGATCACCTGAGGTCAGGAATTTGAGACTAGCCTGGCCAACATGGTGAAACCCTGTGTCTACTAAAAATATAAAAATTAGCCAGGAATGGTGGTGTGCGCCTGTAGTCCCAGCTACTCAGGAGGCTGAGCCAGGAGAATCGCCTAAACCCGGGAGGTGGAAGTTGCAGTGAGCTGAAATCATGCCACTACACTCCAGCCTGGGTAACAAGGTGAGACTCCATCTCAAAAAAAAAAAAAAAGAAAAAAGAAAACATGACATTAACCAAAAATAATTGTTAAAGAGAGAAACTATAAGCTGGCTGTTATTTTGACTAGTTCTAAGGGTATAAGCTATCAAAATTAGCCCTTATATTAAAGAAATCTTTTCCATACTTTAGAAACTAGTCTATTGGAATAAGAAGCAAAAACACTTATTGTACACAGATTTCTTCTCGTAGGAGTATTCTAGCCATCTTCCTACTTTGATTAAATGCTTTCGGGTAAATGAATAGCCACAATAGCTACATCTAACTCTGACCCACAAATCCTATAAAACATAAAATAGGCAAATTATAATAAGCTCTTTAAACTGTGCAATTAAAATTAATCTTTTTAAACTGAAGGCTTAAATTTTTCCTTTTTCTCCCCTAATCAGAGCCATAGGAAATTTCTCATAAAACCATTCCATATCTCATTTTCATAGAAAAATTCAGTGCTCAAGCAAATTAATAATATATGTTCCACAATCTAAGCTCAATCTCCTCATAAAAAGATTAGTGAAAAGTCTACCGGAATCCTTGTTCTTTTATGGCAAATGCTGGTGTTTCCAAGGGGAAAATTTCAGACTGCACGAATAGTTCCCTCACTCTTCGGTCAATGACTTTCCCGTACTGAGCACCAGCATCCAGAATGACAACAGCTCCTTCATAGTGGTGGTGGCCATCCTTAAGGTCTCCTCCAGCATTCTCGAGCTGCAAGTATCAATACAAAGTCTTAATTATAAAAATTAAAGCTATAGTATTTTTTTTTTTAAAATAATGATCACTGTCAGCTCCCAAAAAAAAAAAAAAAAAACATAGAAATGATAACTTAGGACATTCTGAGTTACCAATTCAAAATACCCCCTTTAAACGGAAGATTTGAATACATATCCATGCATGGGCATATATTAAACACTTTTAAAAATGCTACCATTTAATGACTATGTGACATAGTGATAATGTGTATATATACCTTATATACATCATCTAGTAATAGGATGAGCACACAATCCAGCTGTGCCAAAACACAGTCCTGGTTTATGTCCATTATACTGGCATTATAGTAACAGGACAGCCTTTCAATTTCAAAGTGTCCCAGTTTGGAAAATAAGTTTTTTGGTCCCCTATCAATAGTCATAACATTTTTTTGAGGGATATATACTGATGAGGAAACTGAAAGTTTGATGCTAGAGAATAAGCATGGCTAAATTCACTGTGTTAGGATTTTTCATATTACCAGCGGAAAATGATATTATGCATCTAACTCATTATACTAAGATTTTTAAAACGCTTTTTAGGCTGGGCATAGTGGCTCACACCTGTAATCCCAGCACTTTGGGAGGCTGAGGCAGGTGGATCACCTGAAGTCAGGAGTTCAAGACCAGCCTGGTCAACATGGTGAAATTCCTTCTCTACTAAAAATACAAAAAATTAGCTGGGCATGGTGGTGGTTGCCTGTAATCCCAGCTACTCAGGAGGCTGAGGCAAGAGATATGGATTGAACTCGGGAGGCAGAGGTTGAAGTGAGCCAAGATCACACCATTGCACTGCAGCCTGGGCAACAAGAGCAAAACTCCACCTCAAAAATAAATAAATAAATGGCTTTTTAAATCTTATCTCTGTCAGGTATAAATGGGTAACATTTTTCTGGAAGGTTAATTTGGCAAAATGTAAAGTTGTTAACTGAAATACCTACCTAGAAGAGGCTTCAAAATAATGCAAAAGTAGGTGGGTATGGATGAAATAACATTGCCCATGTACTGAAATCACTGAAGTTGGGTGACAGGTACATTAAGTTTATTGTACTAGTGTGGCCTCTATCCTGGGTTTTTTTGTTTGCTTTTCGTTTTATGTAATTTTAAATTTTACACAAGGGAACACTTTAGAAATTTGTGTGTACCCTGGAAATCCACTTATAGGAAGCATATATACAGTATGATGCCACTTCAATATGCTATGTGCATATATAAAAAAGGAAGAATATGGCTGGATATACACCAAAATATTAACAGTGATGAAACAGTTTCACCTAAGTAATGAAACTATAAGTGATTTTATATTTTAATTTCTTTATACTCTTCAATATGTCCTAAAAGTTTACAATAAACATATTTTGGAGAGGTTTTCTCCCTCTAGTTATAAAATTTGCACATAAAAACCTTAAGTCAGCCCTTTAGCCACTTGTGTAACCTTTTCCACCCTTCCTCCCTTCTCCATTTATCTGCAAAGAATAAATGCAGGCCTCACTTACACCATCACTACTCCCTCTGCTGCAAAAAGGAACAAGCAAGTTAGTCATCTACAGGGGAGGATTTGTGAGAGGGATCCAATCAGGTGTCAGAAAAAATTTCTCAGGTCCTTTTAGTCATATGAATATTCAATAATGTAGAAAAGTAAGATCACAGAACCAAAACCTTGTCCTTTCTGACCTTTGCCCCTAGGATTAATGTATAAACACACACCCCTTTATGGATTTTCTTTATAATTCCCTAATCTTAACTTCTTAAAAAGTATTTTTTGAACATCACATTACTGCATAAATTTCTCAGACTCTCATTATTATCTTTACCATTTTTACCAAATCTAAGTATGCTTTTTTACATTACAGGCAGAGTTCTTGCCTTGCATGGTCCTAATATACATAAATTTCAATTACCATGGTTTATACCAAGGTTTAGTTAATTACCAGTCCCCCATAACATGGTTCAAATTTCAGTTTTCATGCTTGACTGCGAGGAATTACATAAAGGACAAATTTCATTGTCTGTTGGTGACGGTCACTGGACAGCAAACAGTCAAGACTGCAATGTGTTGCCTCTCTTACAGTGATAAACCTCAAAAAACTTTTCACAAATATGAATAATCCAAACAGGGGGCTGGTCAACAGAGATGAAGTGCAGCAAAGAAACGAAAAGTGATAATGTTAGAAGTGAAATTTGAATCCAACATATATGAAGTTATAGAAGAAAATGCTGACTGTGGCAAGGCTGACAGGGTTTGTGAGCCTCTGGATACTCAGCCAGAGGAACTTATCAACATCAGTGAGGAAACTGGTTATGATAGAAAGAATGGCAATGTCCCTGAGGAAGTGACTCCAGGAAAATACTTCACATTAAAGAAACTCTAGGAGATATTTCATGACATTAAAAGTGCAAAGGATAAAATGTTGAAAGTCACCAAGTCATAGAAAAGACACAGAGAGGTACTGCTTAAACTACTACTGATAAGCTTTTTACAAAGAAATGAAATACTTAATTCTCAATGTCCCTAGTGTTTTAAGTTATACTACAGTAAATAGCTATAGTAAAATTTACTAAAACAGTAAAATTTACTATTTTATTTCCCTATACTTTTGTAATTGACAGGAGTTTTCAGTGTTTTAACAAAAAAATTTTAAAGATCACAAAACAATTGTAATTTTCCCACTATTAAAACTGCTTTGTGGCCGGGCGCGGTGGCTCAAGCCTGTAATCCCAGCACTTTGGGAGGCCGAAGCAGGTGGATCTCAAGGTCAAGAGATCGAGACCATCCTGGTCAACATGGTGAAACCGCGTCTCTACTAAAAATACAAAAAATTAGCTCTGGGCATGGTGGCACATGCCTGTAATCCCAGCTACTCAGGAGGCTGAGGCAGGAGAATTGCGGTGAGCCGAGATTGCGCCATTGCACTCCAGCCTGGGTAACTAGAGCAAAACTCCGTCTCAAAAAAAAAAAAAACTGCTTTGTGCAGTTTCAGCTTGCATGATTATTTTGTCGTTTTACTTATCCTGCATAGCAAGGACTGCCTGCATTTCTACAAATAAACTAATCTATACTCAAAAAATATATTTTAAAAGAAGTTTCCTATTTTCTTAGCAAAAAATGTTCAATTCTGTGACACAAGAGGTTACTGAAGAAACTGAATTATTGCCCCATATTTCCCTCTACCTTGGCTATGAACTTGCCTATACAGCAATTGTCACAGCTTTTACAATTCAGGACAAAGTAAAAAGGCTCCCACTAGTAAAAGCAAAGTTCCTCTCCCTCAAAACCTGCAATTTATTTACTCCCACTTCACACACAGTTGTAAAGTTTGATAACTATATTTCAAGATTAGAAAAACCACACTAATAAGAAATAAGAAACTTAGTCACATCAATGCAGAGACAAAATCCAGCATCGCAAGACAGAAAAATCTACCATATCTATTTACATAAAGTTCTTAAAAAGACAAATGCCTAAAGACTTAAGGTAGATATCCCTCAACTGCCCTGAGTGCATCATAATAAAGTAATATTCATAAAGATATATTTTAAATATCAAGAAAAAAATATTAAGGAAAAAGCTAAACCATGTATAGCAAATTCTTTAAGAACAGGGCAAGAAGCCAGGTGTGGTGGCGCGTGCCTGTAGTCCCAGCTACTAGCAAGGCTGAGGTGGAAGGATTGCTTGAGCCCAGTTCTGGGCTGTAATGCGCTATGCTGGTCGGGTGTCCTCACTAAGTTCGGCATCAAGATGGTGACCTCCAGGGAAGGGGGGACCACCAAGTTGCCTAAGGACGGGTAAACTGGCCCAGGTCAGAAACAGAGTGGGTCAAAACTCCCATGCTGATCAGTAGTGGGATCACTCCTGTGAATAGCCACTGCACTCCAGCCTGGGCAACATAGCAAGACCCACACTCTATTTAAAAAAAAAAAAGAATAGGGCAAGAAGATCTAGCAGATGCTGGAAAAGTGGAGCTAGAAATGTTATGGGATTTTCTTGGATCCTACATAATCACTTAGCAACAAGATAGCAAAGACATTTACCACATAATTTGTGGTAAATGACAAGTTATCCCAAGAACCCCAAAATACAAGGTGGTGGGGACAAAATACCACAGCCACAAGCCCTACTGCTATAGCACCTATGTGAGAAGCAAACCAGCCTCATTAAAGGACCTAAAAACAGGAGAATTTCCAAGACCGAAGAAGTACTAAGGTACAGCAGCCAATTACAGAACCACAGCATGCTAGGAGGAGGTTTGCCCATGCCAATAGTACACAAACGGCAGGGAACCAAGGTAAGATATAATGGGGCCAGAGGAGTTTAACCCCCATGAACCCTTGACACTAACCAGCCAGAGATCCTTTCCAGGACGAGCCTGCTATGAAGAGCCACTGCTGGGAGATGAATCAAAATTAACAGGACAGAAAAAAGAAACAGATTAACCTGGGACACAAGGACAGAATCAGGAATCCTTAGAAAAAAGCTGCCATAATTTTTTAACAGAAAAGGGAGTTGTATAAAGTTACAAACTTTATCTTAACTAGCTTCCTTCTAAAAGTTGAGGAAAACTAAATTCACATAAAAAGAAAACAAAGTATAGAAGTTAAATACCATACAAAGCTACTAAAAGCACAAAGAAGGGAGGCCAGGCCCCTGTAACTAAAGCCTGTAATCCCAGCACTTTGGGAGCAAGACAGAGGTGGAGGAGTTCCAGACCAGACCAGCCTGGGCAACATAAGAGAAGAGAAACCCTGTCTCTATAAAAAATACAAAAAGCAAGCCAGGCATGGTGGCTCACGCCTGTGATCTCAGCACTTTGGGAGGCCAAGGTGGGTGGATCACCTGAGGTCAGGAGTTCGAGACCAGCCTGGCCATCATGGTGAAACCCTGTCTCTACTAAAAACACAAAATTAGTTGGGTGTGGTGGCGCACGCCTGTGATCCCAGCTACATGGGAGGCTGAGG